GTTTTATTTTAATTAGATATGGGCCAAATTATTTAATATTTCTTAAATTGTTTTTTTTAATTTTATATCTGTGTGTTTTATTTTGGCTGTACACTGCCCTGAGTCCTTCTGGGAGAAGGGCGGTATATAAATTAATTAAATAAATAAATAAACCCACCCCTGCTTCCTCTAAGAAATATTAGTTTGGGGATGGGTGGAGAAAGGGAGGCGCAGAGCAAATGGTTCTACCCAGGCAAGGAGAGGGAAAGAATCTTCCAGATGCCTGCATTTAAAATGCCCTCTGTCAGTTCTTGAGCTATCCAAGAAGCATGCCAGGATGAACTGTGGTCCCTGCATTTTGCCCCAGTAAGAAAATTGGGGAATGGTGCTGTCCTTAGAGGCAAGGCTTTATTCCCCTGCCCCCAAGTGCCACATGCTAGTGACAAAAAGACTATCAACTGCTCTTCTCAACAGGAGGTTGTGGATAGGAGGGGTCAGACAGAGAATGGTAGGCAAATGCTAGGAATGGCAAATTTAGGCACTTGCAAAATTGTTTGTTTGAGGGGTGGCAAAGCACTTAGGAGGGGTGACTTTCTTCTGCAGGTTATGCAGGACTAGCTTCCAGCCTTCTCGGGTCATTGATACATTCAAAGAGGACTGTCTGTTTACCCTTCTCTGCCAGATTGCAAGAATGCAGGTCAGAATCTGGTAGAGCAGAAAAGCAAATTAAGTGAGTTAGAGTGGGGGTGGGGGGTGGGGAGGAATTAGCAAGTTGTGCATTGTCAGAGAAAGGCCTCTTGAAAGAACTGAGAGTTCTTTGTCCTGGCTGTGCCCTGGCATGATGGGCCTCACCCCACCAACATTTGGGCAGTGAATTATTCAGGGAGGTTGAAACTTTGCACCAGGCAGACTGTATGCTGGAAGTTTAGCAAGGCCAATCTGTACAATAACCCAACGTACATGAAAGTGTATGAATGATCCCTATTGCAGGTGACAGGCCTAAGGCCAGCCTTCCTTAATCCACACTTCCAAATGTTTCGTGTCAATTCTTATCAGCACCAAGGAATGCAGCAATATTAATTGATTATGGCTACTGTGGCCCAAAATATTGGAAGGTCAGTGCTGTGCGATCCACTTGGCTATTACACATTGCAGTCCTGGGGAAGTGCCTTTAATTTTAAACGAGGAAGCCCTGTGTATTGATCCCATTTTCTTCTCCATTTTTTGTCTCCCTCTGGAGCAGGTTTGACTCAACTCCTCCCCACCAGAGCTCTTTTATCCTACATTATCTACTTTTCTGTGCTTTGAATAGCTATTCCTAATAAAGAAGCTGAATTTCTATTGCGGTTTCTGAGAATAGTTGATTTATAAGTGGCACTGGTTTTACCACATCTCTCTTCATTCTGCAACATGAGGAAATAAAAGAGGGAAACCAATTCTTTCTTTCTTTTTTCCAAAAAGGAGGGTGACAGATTTAACCTCTCTTTGCCCAAATGGAAAATAATGAGGGCATGTTATTGCTCCTAGCAAATTCACTTATTAGTTTGATTTTTTAAGGAATCCATGTATTATATTTCCATATTAAAGACTGGAATCCACGTTCTAGTGCTATAATGCTCTTTTTCCACATCAAAGCCATATGTACACCCAGGGGCATTGCAACCCAGTGTGCAAATTGTGTGCTGCACAAGGGTGTTATGTGGGAGGGCCCAGGTTTAAAACAATGACCGAGTGTGCATGCACACAATTGGAATGTTTTTTTTTCCAAAAAATATTTTTATTGATGGGCAAGTGTGCATGTGTGTGGCTGGAATATTTCAAAAATATTTGGAGTTACAAATTAAATTGGTTCTCACATCTATAACCATTGCCGCATCCCCATAGTCACATGCTCAAGATTTGGTTGCTTGGCAATTGGCATGTATTTATGATAGCTGCATGATCCTGGGGTCATGTGAATGCCCTTTTTGTGACCTTTCCAGCTGGCTTCTGACAAGCCCCGGGGGGTGGGGGGGAGGTGGATTTGTTTAATAACCACAATTCACTTAACTACAATGATTTGCTTTAACAACCATGGCAAAAAAAGGTTATAAAATTGGACATGACTCATTTAACAACTCTCTTGCTCAGCAATAAAAATTCTGCTCCCAACTGTGGTCATAATCAGATCCCTGATTTGTGGTGAACGTTTTCCAGAGAATTGCTATGGCAGACAATGACCCTCTTTCGCAAGGCTGCTGTAATTGTATATTTAACACCAGCTTCATTTTTAGACCATGCCAAAAATATTATCTTCAAACTGTATAGAGCAGGTATTCCCAACTTGGATCAGACAACAATTCTTGCCATCATATTACAATTCTCCACTCAGGAATTGGCTAGGAATAACAGAATGACAGGAACCTTGGAGCTCATCTAGTCCAACCCCCTGCTCAAGCATATATTCCACACAAGTGACTGTCCAGTCTCTTTTTAAAAGCTTCCAGTCATGGAGCACCCACAACATCTGAAGGCGAGCCGTTCCACTGGTTAATTGTTTTATCAGGAAATTTCTAGGTTGGTTCTCTCCTTGATTAGTTTCCATTCATTGTTTCTTGTCTTGCCTTCAGGTGCTTTGAAGAATAGGTTGACACCTTCTTTTATGTGGAATAACGGAACACTGCTATCATGTCAGCCCTAGTCCTTCTTTTCACAAGAATAGACCAACCAAATTTCTCCAACCATTCTTCATATGTTTTAGCCTCCGGCTTCCTAATTATCTTTGTTGCTCTTTTCTGCATTCTTTCCAAGTCTCTACATCTTTTTTTATAATATGGTGACCAAAACTGGATGACGTGTTCTAAATGTGGTCTTTCTAAGGCTTTTTAAAGTGGTATCGTGTAGCACTAGAGCTTATTTTGGGGGGATGTCTATGGGAGGCCCATTTCTTCTGCTTGCTCTTGCTAGTGCTGCTGCTGCGAGGCAGGGAGTGGAACTGCCCCATGTGCCCCACACTGGCTTACCTCAGAGCCTCTGCAGCCAGGCCATCCATGTCCTGGCACTTGCCTCACCTCATGACCACGGCACCACCACATTGCTCGGCCTCCTATTCTGTTGTGGCTGCGCGAGGAAGTAGAAGAAGTGGGCCAGTGGCTATGCGAGGTCCTGCTGGATGGGGTTAGCCACCACGAAGCTAGGCAAGTGTCGAGGTGTGGATGGCTCTACCCACCTCCCCTCGCAGCCGTGCCACCACAAACAGCCAGATAGAACGGGTGGCTGGCTGGCTGCACAGGTGCTTAAGTAGGGCTTATTTTGGGGGTATGGCTTATATTAGGCGCACATGAAAAATGTGATAGGTCTTATTTTCCAGATAGGTCTTATTTTCAGGGAAACACGGTACTAATCCTTCACTTGATGTTGATTCTGTCCCTCTGTTAATGTGACCTAGGATTGCATTGGTTTTTTGGCTGCTGCTGCACACTGCTGGCTCATATTTAAGTGATTGTCCACTAAGATTCCAAGATGCCTCTCACAGGTACTGCTATTGAGCCAGGTTTCACCTAACCTGTACCTGTACATTTGTGTTGTCTTGCCTAAGTGTAAAACCTTACGTTTCTCTACAATGAATTTCATTTTGTTAGATAGTGTTCAAGTCTGTCAAGATCCATCTGCATCTTGAGTCTATCTTCTGGGGTGTTAGCTATTCTTGCCAGTTTAGTGTCGTCAGCAAATTTGATCAATTCCCCTTTTTAGGGAAAAAGCTATTTCAAGGGGCAAGGAAAGGAGGGGAGGGAGGGATAGGGAAAAAACTAGAAGTAAACTACTTCAGAACTGATAAGCAGCTGGTAGCAACCAAGGTCACTTGTTGGTAGCAACCAGACATAGAAAATGATATCTCTTTGCTGCCATCTAATGGTTGCCTGGATCTGTGCAGCCCACGTTTAACTACGTAAGCTGTTACTAGATTCATTGCAACAAATCAGGTATATTTACCCTCTGCATTTGAAGATGGTGAAGTCTGCAGGCTCTGGGACCAAACTTCAGCTGGGAGGAGCTTCTAGTCAAAGAAGGATATGATGGGAGAAAAACAAGTGTGTTGCAATTATGAAAATAAAAGGTCAGCACGAAAACTTCCTCTTAATGTTCCCAAGAATTATTACACTCGGTAAAATGTTATTGATACAGGTTGAATGACTTCTCTCCCACCCACCCACCCCACTTCTATATGCCTATTCAGCATTATACTTTTTCTTTTTTTCTTTTTCTTTTCTTTCCCAAAATACAAAACATGGACAATATTAAAAATGCTGAGGTAAATGTATTTCCCTTTGTATGTCACTGTAAGACAGTTCATCAGGAGGTTAAATTTCTGTTAGTTGACAAAGTCTAAGCAAGTCAGGAATGTAAAACCTTTCCTGTCCATATTTAAGGGTTGGCGGATTTCTGTCAATGGCAGAGCGGAAGCTTCTGGATGGAAAGTTCAGAAAATACAGTGAGAAATGGGTCAGTGACTTTATCTTTCTATTGTTAACGGATTCTTCTCTCTGGAAGGAAAAGATGGAAGAAGCAATGGGAAAATACAGAAGCGTCTCACATGGAGGACAATGACATTTTGATGCTCTGTAAAATGTTATGAAGGAGGCGGAACGATGGTATAATTGAGGCCTCCTATGGAAGCCCTGCGTTATGGGGCATCTAAAGATCAGCTAGATTAATTACAGCAGAATTTGGGGTTGATCAGAGTAGAAGTTACATCAGGTGCATCCTTCTCTTGGTGGATTATTTCCTGTTACTGCATTTTAGAATATTGATGATCTTATATACCGTGCATTCACACCTGTGTGGACATACACACATCAGAATTCCCTTCCAATATCCCTGCACACTGTCCATTGTCCCTGGCCAGGACTGGCCCTGCCCCTTGCTTACAGAGGCTTCTTAAAAGAGAGATGTTAAAATCTTAGGATGTCCCACCTACCAGGGTGGAGTCACCCACAGTCTTGGGACTTCCCCTGTTGTTCATTTAAAAGCCTTTCCGTTTTTCTTATGCTTCTTCCTGGAGTCAAAAGTCATCATGGAGACCCTGTGGCAGAAGAGTATGCAGTTCCTGGTGATAGTATGCTGGCTTTTCGTGAGCCTGGAATCCCCTGCAGGTAAAAGGGGAGAGGGAAGAGAGGTCAGGGAAAGTTTTTTTATGCATGCACCTGTCCCTTTAACATCACAGTAAGAAATTAAGCCCCTTATTGGGACTTATTGGAAAACCCTATTGTTTTCCATCCTTGGGGGAAAGCTTTATATCCATGCACCAACTAAGAGAAGCACAGGAACAAATCCAAGTTTTAAAAAGTGGCAGCCTCAGTGACACTTTGCATTGGTTACTAGTTTTCCGTTGCCACAGCAGAACTGGTGTAATTTAGATTAGTTCCATTGAAGGCAGTTCAGCCAGGGTTTTCTCCTATTCAGTTTCTGCCCGACAACATACACCTGTTAAACAGAGGGGAAAAGAAAGAAAAGAAGAAAAGAAAAGAAAGGAAAAGAGAAAAAGAAAAAAAGAAAGATTTATGGGAATCCTTGGTGCTTGATGTTCTCTGAGCTTGGTTGTTGTCTTAAAGATGTTTCATTACCAAACTAGGTAACATCATCAGTGCTAATGATATTGTGTTGCTTGTTAACTAGTTTGGGTAATGAACCGTCTGCAAGAAAACCACCAAGCTCAGAGAGCACCAAGGACCCATATTTCAACCCTGAGCTACAAATATTCTCCTTTAAAGATTTGTGTATTTATTTATGTCCCACCTTTATTAAATTTATATATAACACAGCAAACGTACCTAATATTCCTCCCTTGTCTTATTTTCTCCACAACAATAACCATCCTATGAGGTAGACCGGGCTGAGAGTGATTGGCCCAAAGTCACCCAGCCAGCTTTTATGGCTAAAGCAGGATTGGAACTCATGTCTCCTGGTTTCTAGCCTGATGCCTTAACACTAAACCAAACTGGCTCTCTATACTACTCCATTCAAAGTAGAATGCTTTTTGGAGAGTAACTTAAACCTGCAGAAATGAAACGGCTGAAAACTATAGTGCAAAATATTTCCATGGAACTTGAGATATCACCTCCAATGTGTTTCCCACGGATATATTGATTCTTTTTAAGTCTCTTGTTAAGAAATTGGATTAATACCTGGTTTCAGAAATTGGATTAATACCTGACTGCTGTCCAAGCAAAATCAATGCAAAATCTCTTTAGAAGTACTGATAGTTATTTAAATATCTATTTTGGGGGTAAAAAAATCTATAAAACAGTCATAACAGTTGTTTTATACTGCTGTATCTGCTCAGGCACCGAAACTGAAATAATAAGACAAATTATTCAAATTATTCTGAATTATTATTTGAAATATCTAGAATTGTAGCCAAACTTTGTAATATAGCAATGGCAGTCAGATTTTCTGTACTTGATCAATTGTCCAGGGATGCTTAACTCATCCATAAATAATATTTTTAACAAACACGTATGTTATGCACTTTTTTTTTGCTTTTTAAAATTTTTTGTGTGTTTGGTCCCTGATCATGTATTTTATGATCATATATTTTATGATCAATATTTTAATAAGCTAAGATAAACACATATGGAAGAGAGTTTAGAGAACATTAAGAAAGGCTTCTGTCTGTGAATGGAAACTCTCTTATATAATGTTTTTTTTTAATATGGTTTTTATTAAAAGATTTTGGAAAAGAGAGGTTAAAAACTAATAGACACTAATGTAAAATAAGAACAAGAAAGGAAAAAGAAATAAAAGAGAAAGCTAAAAAGTGTAAGAAACGGGAAAAGGAAAAGAAAAATAAAAAAGGAGAAGCTACAAAGTTTCTGATTTTGTAGCAGTTATAAATACAATCCTTACCACTTTCTATAGAGGGACGATTGAAAGCATTGTATCATATTGTATTTCTGGTTGGTTGGGAAACATTACTGCTTTGGACGGGAAGGCTTTGCAAAGAGTGGTGATGGGGGCAGAAAAGATTATTGGAAGTTCACTTCCTTCTATCAGGACATGGCATATAAGCGCTGCTTGACCATAGTGTTGTCCGTAGTGTTGTCAGGGACTGTACACATCCTCTCTATGATCAGTTTTCATTGTTGCCTTCTGGGATATCTGAGATGCTTTGTGATGCTTTGTGATATCCAAAGCAGAACAACTAGATTCTATAACAGGTTTGTTCCATATAGTATTAACCTTGTTAACTCTCAAGACTCTTTCTTCCACTATGTATTCAAAATGGACTGTGATTTTAGTATAGGTTTTGGTGTCATTTTTGTATTACTTGGCATTTGTGGTGGTGTTGCTGTTATTATATTATTATTGTTATCTTGGGATGGTGACATTGCTGGGTAGGTGGTATTTCTTCTTTCAAGAGTGGCGCATTGGAATTTCATTTTAATGTGTTGTGTATACTGGTAAATAGCAATAAACCTTCTTTTTATCTTATCTTAATTGTATATTTACCTCTTACTCAGTGCTTACAAATTACTTTCTTCTTTCTATCCTATCTAATCATTAAAACATAAACCATTAGGTCATTTTTCCCGGCATTAGGTATGCTTTCTAATTCCTCCCAGTCAATATTCTTTGGCTGATGGGATCCAGAGCATGCCCATCCTACTGACCAAATTGGAAGGGGAGAAACATTTAGGAGAAGATATTCCCTGAGGGGCCATGAAGGGCTTTAAAGAAGACAACCAGCACCTTGAATTGCAAATCAGAAACACATTGGCAACTAATCCAACTCAAAAGAGCCTTGGTACTACAGTGGTTTAAAGCACCCTGTTATTAACACAGCTGCCTGCAATTTACTGCTGGTTCGAATCTCTCCAAGGCTCAAGGTTGACTCAGCCTTCCATCCTTTCTAAGGTAGGTTAAATGAGGACCCAGTTTGTGGGGGCAATAAGCTGACTTCGTATAAATATACAAAAGTATGAAGGCTATTGCTTAACGCACTGTAAGCCGCCCTGAGTCTCCGGAGAAGGGCGGCATATAAATCAAATTAAAAAAAAAACAAAACCATAGTGTTATGTGTGCCAAGCAGGGGTGAAATGCTCCCAGTTTGGACCGGATTGCCTGATCCGGTGGCTATGGTGGCGGGTTGTTCGGAGAACCAGTAGCAAACATCCCTGCCACCCCCCCCATGCCCAGCTGAGCCACGCAATCATCAGAGGCTTTTTAAAATTATTTTTAAAAGCATTTTTTCTACAACTTCTTTGGCAGAAAAAATGCTTTTAAAAGTAAAAAAAAAAGCCTCTGATGATCCTGCGACTCAGCTGGGATCGTCAGAGGCTTTTAAAAGAAAAAAAAGCCTCTGTCGATCAGGCAACTCAGCTGGGATCGTCAGAGGCTTTTAAAAGCATTTTTTTTACAACCTCTTTGACTGAAGAGGTGGTAGAAAAAATGGTTTTAAAAGTTAAAAAAAAAAAGTTGTCCACGTTCACCTAGTCACATTAGCCCCCAGCCACCAAGCCATGCTCACAGAACCGGTAGTAACAAATTTTACATTTCACCACTGGTGCCAAGTATCTGACACCATTTACTACCCATACACCTGCATTTTGTCTCAGTTGGAGTTTCCAAATGCTCTTCAAGGGCAGCCCCACATAGAGCATGTTGCAGTAATCTAGACGGCAAGTCACGAGGGCCTGAGTCACAGCAAAACCAGGAATGGGAACAAGTGGCCTGCAACCAAAAGATGTGCAAAAGCCCTCTTAGTCGTGGCTGCTACTTGCTCTTCCAGTAGAAGCTGTGAGTCCAAAAGGACCCTCAGATTGTGCACCAATGCTATGCCATCAAGGAGCAAAGGTGGAAAAACCTGGACACTGGAAGACATAATTACCCTAAACCACACAATCTTGTTTGGGTTAATCCAAAGCCCATTGTACCCCATCCAGGCCCCATCCAGTCTCCAGACACTGAGAAAGGACAGCTGCAGCATCACTCAGGCAGCCTGGGATGGCAATATAAAGTTGACTATGATCAGCATAACGATCTCTTTAAACCATCAAATCACCTCATCCAGCAATCTCATGTAGGTTTTAAATAAGAAAGAGGACTGAGCCCTGCGACACCCCACAAAGTAGGAGCTGTGGTCTGGGCATACCCCTCCCCCACCAACAGCAGCTGGAATTGACACCAGAGGAAGGAGGAAAACCAGCACAACATTGTGTCACTCACCACTTGGTCACCACGCTATAAAAAAGATGTTGAGACTCTAGAAAGAGTGCAGAGAAGAGCAACCAAGACGATTAGGGGACTGGAGACTAAAATGTATGATGAACGGTTGTTGCAGGAACTGGGCATGGCTATTCTAGTGAAGAGATGAACCAGGGGAGACATGATAGCAGTGTTCCAATATTTGAGGGGCTGCCACAGAGAGGAGGGGGTCAAGCTATTTTCCAAAGTACCCAAAGGCCAGACAAGGAATAATGGATGGAAACTGATCAAGGAGAGATTCAACCTAGAAATAAGGAGACATTTTCTGACAGTGAGAACAATCAACCAATGGATCAGCTTGCCTTCAGAAGTTGTGGGTGCTTCATCACTGGAGGCTTTCAAGAAGAGACTGGACTGCCATCTGTCAAAAATGGTATAAGGTCTGCTTGGGCAGGGGGTTGGACTAGATGACCTACAAAGTTCCTTCCAACTCTGTTAATCTGTTAATCTATTAACATCTGTTAACACTTTTAACTCCAAACTCCCAAAACTGCTTCAGAAGGATACCATGATCAATGGTACTGAAGGCCACTGAGAGGTCAAGAAGAGCAAGGATAGGTGCATTACCTGTATCCTGCTCTCACCTGAGATCTTCCAAAAGCATGATCGATGTTGTCTCAATCCATACCCTGAATCCTGTTTATTTCATTCAAAATAACCTGCATTTTTCTTGACTTTTCTAAATTCACTGCCATGTTATTCAAACTAACCTCTAATAAAAGCTTTACTTTCATTCCAAACCTTTCCTAAATCAGTACAATTTACATAAACTATTTTTGACAAATTCTTTTAATTTCTTTTCACAGTCCTCCACAATTGCTTCTTTCTATACCAATATTTCATTTAGTCTCCATCTAAAAGAATTAGATTTTCTTACATAAACCAAACTCACAGGATTATGATCTGAAAAACTCTTTGGTAACATCTCTGTTTTCGAAACCTTAGTAGCCAAATCGTTTATGTCCAAATTATGTCCAAATTATTGAAGAAGATTTACGTCTCTCAGGAAAGTACATATTCTCTCTTAAACTGCCATTTTTCTGCCTTCATATATCAATCAGCTCTAAATTATCCATCGAATAATAATTTTAAAAAAACTTTTGAAAATTTGCCTAGAGTAACCTTAGTATTTTTCTCAGAATTTTTGTCCAGTTGTGGGAAATTGCTCCACTCCAATTCCCCATCAAACATTTATATAATGTAAGGTTGAACTGTGGGATTTCATGTTAATTGGAAAGGGTCAGTTCAACATCAGCTAATATAATTGGTAGAAGTCTGGCAATTCACTCTGCTGTGCTCTCAAAATTTATCTATTTTAAAGGTTAGTTAAAGATTATTTAATCTAATTATATATTGGGTAATTTTATTATTTATTATTCCTTGGGTTTACAGTATATGAGGAGCGGCATGATGGCTCAGTGGTTAAAATGCTGGGCTTGTTGGCTGGAAAGCCAGCAGCTCGGGTTTGAGACCGAGTGCCATGTGACGGGGTGAATTCCGTTATTTGCCACAGCTCCTGCTCACCTAGTTGTTCAAAAGCAAGCAAATGCGAGTAGATAAATAGGTACCACTTTTATGGGGAGAATGACCGCAGAGACTTCTTTGGAGGCCTCTGGCTCATGGCTTTGAAATGGAGAGTCCGCACAGACTCCTTTCTTTTCCTTTCCTTACTGAGAGGCACATGACATGGATTTTGTAACTTGCTGACTAACATAGTTACTATGTATTTTAATTTGATTTATTTTCTCTCTTTTAGAATGATTTCCAGATTGATTAGCTTTTAACATTCCTAAACTGATAAACAGGCTGGAGACTAGCTCCAAATAAGAAAAAGTTTGTTAGTACAAATTGGGGTTTATCTCTTTTGTGAACGCCAAACAATCTTTTCCCTTACAATTTACGCCCCTTCTTGAGGCCTGTCAGACCTCATTTTAACAAACGTGTGATATTATGGGATGCAAATATGTAACATGTTTGACTACATCATGGGTATCAAACTCGCCACGTCTTGTTGCCGTTGTGTGACATTTCATGTTGTTTTTCCCATTTGCGGAGCTGGGATGGGTGTGGCCTGTGCGTGACTCATCCGGCCCATGGGCCGCCAGTTTGACACCCCTGTAACTTATGTAAATGATTTCCTATGCAAAGGGGAGGTTACTTTTATCCTATCCAATCAACTTTCCTCTTGCATTTCCTTTGTTGTATTAATTATAAAAAGGAATGTAACATGGGGCTCGAGGTTCTCCTTTTTCATAGGGAGATCCCACTTTAACAGGAAACCCCCCAAAAATGCTTTTAAATGATCTTCCAACTCGGTTGCTCATTGGGAAGGTGAACTGAGGCAGAACCTAGGGCCAGATTTGGCTGTCAATACCACTGGAGCCAACAGAAATTACTCCTGTAAATAAATAGTACAATACATTCTGAAGTTCTTAGGAATATTTATATTTTTAATTCCAGTTTTGGCATATAGCCTTCCAGCAAACAAATCATAAGTAGTTAATGTAAGGATATGATAATGGTAACAATAACAATCCAAACCCAATCTGTTACTTGAACATTATTTGTACAGTAGCAGAAAATCCGATTAACAGGAACTAAAAAGATGAGTGGGTGTGTTGTGTTGACAATGAATTATAAACTTCTGAGAATATAAAAACCTGGTGTAAAAGTGTAAACTTCCTGCTTTTGATTCAGAAATATATTTTTCCCCGTGCTGCTTTTTTATTGAATGCAAGCTCTCCTCTTTATTGTCTGTTGTTATCAGGCAACTGTCAACAACATAGAATTAGGATTTATAAATGGCACTCTAGAGCTAGCTTCCATAAATCCCACCATGAGGTCTTTACCATCAGAAATAAAATAAAGAATGATGACATTTTTATGTTTACTACAGCAGAAGGTTTCATAGATCAATGTCCACTTCCTTAGGCACATGAAATGTTACCCTTGCTCAGCTAGTAAGGGGAAGGGGAACAATAGATACAATGCAGAGGCATGTAAAAAGTGCAGTCTGTGAGCATTCATTAAAATTGAAACATCTTAGCCAGTGGTGGGATTCAAATTTTTCTACTACTGGTTCTGTGGGCGTGGCTTGGTGGGCGTGGCATGGCATGGCTTGATGGGTGTGGCTTGGTGGGCGTGGCAGGGGAAGAATACTGTAAAATCTCCATTCCCTCCCCACTTCAGGAGAAGGTTACTGCAAAATCCCTATTTCCTCCAGATCAGCTGGGACTCGGGAGGCAGAGAATAGATGGGGGCGGGGCCAGTCAGAGGTGGTATTTACTGGTTCTCCGAACTTCTCAAAATTTCTGCCACCGGTTCTCCAGAACTGGTCAGAACCTGCTGAATACCACCTCTGATAATAGCTATCAAATGACTGATCGCTGAAGGAATGAGGGCAACTATGATTCTGCTAAGAAGACCATAATCTGACTCAAGCAGGTGGAGAAGGAAAGATAGAGGACAAGGAGCAGAGCAAAACTGATCCATTTAAAAAGAAAGACCCAAATGGAGTAATTTGGGGTGGTTGAATTTAGCCATCATTTAAATTCTCCAAAGTACTCAGGGGTGCTGCTATCTTAGTAACTTGTGGGAAATTTTAAAAAGTGAGTTCAGCAATTTGAGGTGATGGTGATAATTTGAGGGCAGGGAGCAGTAATGGTAGTCCTTCTCTCCAGAAGTTGCTCCTAGACCCCTCTTCCAGCTGCTTTTTTTGTTTGGAAAACAGAACTGGTTCTTCCCTTCCAGTACCTCACACGGCAGATTTTCTGCCCTTAGGTCAGCTTGTAGGATACCATCCCATCTCCAGAATAGACAGAAAATTCAACAGCCAGTCAAGCTGGCTCCGAAATGAGAAGGTTTTTTAATATCATCTTCTGCAACTATGTGTATTGAGCTGCTATGAGCTGCTGGTACAGTTCTACAGAGGAATTATTGAGTCTGTCATCTGCACCTCTATAACTGTCTGGTTTGGTTCTGCAACCCAACAAGACAGACACAGACTTCAAAAACAATTACTACCAACCTGCCTTCCATTGAGGACCTGTATGCTGCTCGAGTCAAAAAGAGGGCTGTGAAAATATTTACAGACCCCTAGCATCCTGGACATAAATTCTTTCAACTCCTACCCTCAAAACAATGCTATAGAGCTCTGCACACCAAGACAACTAGACACAAGAACAGTTTTTTCCTGAATGCCATCACTCTGCTAAACAAATATTTCCCTCAACACTATCAAACTATTCACATTAGGCTGCATTACTATTACTATTAGTCTTCTCATCGTTCCTATCACCCATCTCCTCCCACTTATGACTGCATGACTGTAACTTTGTTGCTTGTATCCTTACAATTTATATTGATATTGATTGTTTCCTAGTATGATTTGATTGCTTATTTATACCCTATGACTATCACTAAGTGTTGTACCTTATGATTCTTGATGAATGTATTTTGTCTTTTTATGTACACTGAGAGCATATGCACCAAAGACAAATTCCTTGTGTGTCCAATCACACTTGGCCAATAAAGAATTCTATTCGCACTGGCGTGAACCTGTAATCCAGCTACTCCGGAGGCTGGGGCTGGCGGATCGCTTGAGCTCAGGAGTTCTGGGCTGCAGTGCGCTATGCCGATCGGGTGTCTGCACTAAGTTCAGCATCAATATAGTGATCTCCAGGGAGCCGAGGGCCACCAGGTTGCCTAAGGAGGGGTGAATCGGCCCAGGTTGGAGACAGAGCAGGTCTATTCTATTCTATTGAATCTACTCCTTCATTCATAACAAACCTGACTTTTCTGTTTGATGAAACAAAATGTGAGGCCTTGGGTTATTCTCCACATTAACAATCTGGATGTCTATGGAGAATAAGATCCAATCTGGGTTAGTCAATGGGACCAGAGATTTAGTCTTCCGAGCTTTCAGACTTGTGCTGGAGCCCTGAGAGAGAAGTTCCCTGAGGAGGATGGACTCTAGCACAAGTCCAAAAGCTCGGAAGAGAAAACCTCTGGTCCCATTGACTAACCCAGATTAGATCCATGCAATATTCGTGGGACACGAATATTTGCCTTCCTTCGCCTATGGAGAGCATTCAGATGGGACTTGTTCCTTTTCATTTTTTATATGTCTTATTTTATTTGTGTCCTAGGTAAATGGCTTTTTAAAAATGCAGACATTTGAGCAAAACTGACATTATTGATTTTGAATATCTACTCAACTAAGAGACTAATTGCTATTATGGACAAATAAATGCTCATGTTGAGTATAGTTATGAAAGGTAGAAAATGGAAACGAAACAATCACTTTAAGAAACAAGCATCTTCTCAGCTTTCTGATTTTTATTTTGCTGTCTTTTCCTTGGTTCTTAAATCTTCCTCTGGACTGTTCTGGTGTGGATAAAAATGTCTACCTCTGGGAAGTGGCTCTCTGATCTCAGAACTAAACTGGGCTTCCTTTTTCAGAGGCTGAGAATATTCTATGCTACAAAACCTTTGATGCAGTCTCAGGGACTTGCAGTAACTTGTTGGGAGGTGGTGTTTCCCAGGAAGACTGCTGCCTAAACCATGAATATGGTTTCCAGGGGACGGAGCATGGGCCCTGCCAGTCCTGTCGGTAAGTGAAACACCAACAGTTCTAATTAACTGCATATTTGTCATGTGCTGCACAAGTGGTCCTAAGCCTACTTTCTTCTAACCCTCCAAATATTATCCATTGGTGGAGTGCTGGGCATCTTTCCTTAGGGTTGCTTATCCCATCTCCCCTATAGGAAGAGAGGCTATAGGATAGTCGCATGCACTATGCATACAGCACCATGCAGTTCTCATCTGCTATCTCCAAGCAGGGCTAAATAAGTTCCTGCCTAAACATTCTGAAGCTTCTATTGGTCAGTGACAACAATATTCCACCACATGTCCCATTGACAGAAGTGTTTAATTTATGCCCAGGCTTCCTGTTTATACTTGACCCACCACTAAGGACAGGGGTGGGTTCTACTTACCTTTACTACCGGTTTGCATCGTACCTGTGCGCGCATGCGCAGATCACTTATGATGATGTCCAGGTCAGTGGGCGGAGCCTCCCGCCGGTTTTACTACCGGTTCTATAGAACTGGTCCGAACCGGGTAACCCACCACTGAGTAAGGATAAGTTATTTAAGAGCCCTGGTGGCGCAGTGTTAGAATGCAGTATTGCAGGCTAACTCTACCTACAGTCTAGAGTTCAATCTTGACGGAGCTCAAGGTTGACTCAGCCTTCCATTTTTCCAAGGTTGGTAAAATGAGGACCCAGATTGTTGGGGGGCAATATGCTGACAATGTAAACCACCTAGAGTATGCTGTAAAGCACTATAGGCTGGTATATAAGTCTAATTGCTATTGCTATTATTTCAATAAAAATGAGGAGTATAAAACATAAGGACATTGATGCAGTTAGAATCAAAACCTAAATTAAAACCAGTTATTAAACTTAATTAAAATGGTTAATTTAAACATTATGCTAAGCCAGGGTTCTTAAACAATGGTTTATTGAAGCCATTATGAGCCACAAGTAGCTGTAAACCCAGGCTGTATAAGACATAATCTACATTCTGATAGATTTTTTAATTAATGTATTTTTGTACTTATAACTTCCAGATTTTTTTCCCATTCTCTCTGCCTGTAGTTTTATCTAGCATTTATCTGGATTTGGTTAAGTGACCAATGCATAGCTTTCTCTACATCTGAGTATAGAGAATCGCCTAGAGAAACAAAATGTTCTGTTTTAATTTCACATTATTCCTTCTAAAGAAATGTAACAGCAGATTTAAGCTAAATGTTTTTCTTGTTCATTGAATCAACATTCTGGCAATCAGCTCCTCCCCCCCTCCCCCATGTTCTTTGTGGAATTATGGAACACAGATATGAACATACTCTTACATACAATTCCTAGTTAAATTACAGAACATGTCATGATGACAAAAAATTTGGGCAACTTTTTGACAGATTAATAATGGTTAAGTCTACCCTGAGTAAAAGCGTGCTCATATCTTGCTCTCCTTGGAGGCATCTGGATGGCAGCTGCTATGGGATCAAAATGCTGGGGAAAAATGGGCCTTTCCTCTAACCCAACATGGTTCTTGTTGGCTTGTCTTTGGATCCCACTACTGAAGCTCCTTAAGTGTTTCCTTTGTTGTTGGGAAACAGGATGCTGGGCTAGATGGACCCTTGATCTGATCTAATGGAATCCTTCATGGCTGGATTTTACATTATGGGGAAACCCTGATCCAAGTCAGTTATCTTTGCTCTGCTTTTCCTTTAGCGAAGCTGAGTGGGGTGAATGGACCTCATGGAGTTCATGCTCGGTCTCCTGCACTGAAGGTGTCCAGCGGCGCAGGCGCATATGTTATGGCTACCATGGAGAGGCATGTCCACCTGGTACACAGAAGTGGGAGATGAAATCCTGCCTTCTGAAAGAATGTTGCCCTGGTAAGCAATTTTCTCTCCTCTTGACCTTTACTTAAGCTTGAAGCTAGAAATGAGCCAGGATCATTTCTTTTTCTTGCATGACCTTGAATTTTGAGATTTTGTAGTCTTCCGAAGCAGGATTCTAAATTAGCTGGCGGTGTTATCTGTCCTACCCACCCACCCACCCCCGCCATTTTAAGTGATATTTCGAGAATTTCCCCTCCCAAAGCACCACCTAAATACTTATTCATTTATGCCATCTTGCTTTTCCTCATTAAAAAAAACAACAACAACAGAAGTTGTGGGGGAGATGTGTTTGTGACATCCCAAGTGTTAAGTTTGTCAGCACCAATCGCAATCAACTTTTAATGCCATGTTCCAGAATGTTTCCTTTTTCTTTTTGTAGAATGTACCCTGGAGAGAAAAAGGTACATGTGAATTGGACTTCATGAGAGTCTTTCCAAATTTAGGCGCTAGAGGGCTTTTGGTCTCTCGCCCACTTCTAGTGGCAATGGCATCCTATCTGCCTAAAATTAGATTCTCGCAGTAGCTGCAATTTTACACCCATGTATCTGGCAGCTATTCCTACTGAGCAAAACACAAGCTTATTTCTGAGTAACTGGACGAGACACAGTTGGGTGAAGCTTCAGGCAGAGCAACATCTCATCTTATTCATTTGAAATACAGGTGATTAATCCTCAGTTAAGGATGGAAATTATAACCGACAACTCTGTTGCCAAGCAAGGTGATTGTAAAGCATAACATCAGGTGACTGTGCCAAAATTACAATGGTCATTGTGGTGGTTTTGGTTGCCATCGTTAAATGAATTCCACGTAGTCGTTAGGCATGACATCGTGCGATTGCCTTTTGTGACCTCCTGCCAGCTTCCCTGCTGATTTTTGCTTTGCTTGTGGGAAGCCAGCAGAGAAGGTCACAAATGACAATCACATGACTGCTGAGATATTGCAACTATTTGCAGTTATGAACCAGCTGCAAGCACTAGAACCATGATTAGGGGGTCACCATGATGGTTGCATCTATGAGAACTGGTTGTAAGTCTTCTCATTCAGCACCGTTGTAAGTTCAAACAATCCCTGAACAAGTAGTTGTTAAATGAGGACTACCTGTATAAACTGAGAACATTTTAGTTACATCCATAAACAATAAAACTTAGACTTACATATCACCTTCATTGTGCTTTAAAGCACTCTCCGGGCAGTTTACAACATCAACATATTGCCCCCAACAATCTAGGTCTTCATTTTACTGTCCTTGGAAGGATGGAAGGCTGAGTCAACCTTGAGCCCAGTCTGGATTGAACTCCAGGCTGTGGACAGAGTTAACCTGCAATACTGCATTCTAACCACTGCACCACTAGGGCTCCCCAAGAGATAATCAATGTCTGAGGCATCCACTTTGGGAGAGTATGTAGATAATGTGGATAATACTGGTTTTGACAGAATGTCTATAGTTTATGAAATAAGGTTATTAATGAACTAGAAAGAAGAAAAACATCACAAGCATTCTCAGTCTTCAAGTCTTCAGCAATTATTTTGATGGGCAGAAAATCATGAGACAAGTGTTGGCTTGGGTGGTAAAGATAGCAGGCTAAATTGTTTTTAAAGAGAGTTACAATAGACAATTGAAAGCAAGCAAACAACCTTTTTGTTTCCGTTTTTCAAAATTGTCCATTGTTTTCCTTTAATGCCTGTAATCAGAAAGTTTAAAGACAGATTTCTTTGTTTGATGATTTGCACAGGACATCGGTAATTCTGTGTGGAACAATGATCCCATGTGTCTGCATTTTTTTGGCACAGCTCCAGAAAATTTATTTATTTTTATTTTATTTATTAATTATATTTATATACCGCCCTTCTCCCGAAGGACTCAGGGCGGTGAACAGCCAAGATCAAATACATAAATATAAAAATTAAAAACAATTTAAAACCAGATTAAATACTTTGGCCCATAATTAAAAACATCCCATTAAAATCCAATTTAAAATTTAAAACCGTTAAAATTAGGCTAGCCTGGTTTGCTGGAATAACAAAGTCTTGAGGGCACGGCGGAAGGTGCGCAAGTCCGGGATCCCCCGTACCTCCGGGGGCAGCTCGTTCCAGAGGGCAGGAGCCCCCATTGAGAAGGCTCTCCCCTGGGGGGTCGCCAGTCGACATTGTCTGACCGACGGCACTCTGAGGAGCCCGCCCTGTGGGAGCGTACTGGCCGGTGGGAGGCTGTTGGTAGCAGAAGGCGGTCCTGTAAGTACCCAGGTCCTAAGCCATGGCTAATAATGGCTAATAAATCCACAGATTACCATTTCCTACGTGATAATTTGTTTTGATACTTTCACTTCCTCATGTGTGTACGTTTTTTGGAATCCCCCACCCCCACAGGAAATGGGACTTTGCAATTTAGTAATTCCCCTGGTTGGATGTGGATTGCTTTGTATTATGTCTAAGGGCTGATGAGTCTCCACCATGCCTGAACCTTGATGTCAAATGTTCTTTCCTTGCAGTGATGGGTGGATGGTCAGAATGGAGTGCCTGGAAACCTTGCTCAGTGACCTGTCAGACTGGGACCCAGTTAAGGGAACGAACTTGCACCAATCCAAACCCTGTCTGTGGAGGCACCTGCACAGGAGTCGGCAAAGAAACCAGGCCATGCGATACTAACCAGATTTGCCCAAGTAAGTTGGGATAGAGAGGCAGTTTGGTGTAATAGTTTAGGCATATGTTGGAAACTGGAAGACCGTAGGTTCTAGGCCTGCCTTAGTTCCAAAGCCATCTAGGTGGCCCTGAGCCAGTCTTGTTCTCTCAGCCCTAGGAAGCAAGTAATGGCAAACCACTTCTGAAATCTTGTCAAGAAAACTGTAGGGACTTGGCGTGCATGTACAAATACCCACCCATCCACACTTACAAATTGGGGTAATTAAATACTTGAAGAACAATCTGGAGTGAAAAGTAGCGTGATGGAGAAAAGAGAAATGTTTACTAAAGATTGTATTTCAATCTCTAATTTAGGGTGGGCAATCCAGTCTGCATATGGCTTCCCTGAAGGTCCCTTCTCAAATGTTACCGGATTTGGGCGGGAGGGCAACCAGCCCTGATTGAGGGCAGTTTCACTGACTTCCATTCACCATTAGATAGGAAAAGGTCAAATAACAACTTCTTAATTATGCAATCTCTTAATTATGATCTCTTGAGTTTTACTAGCAGATTAATACAGAATGGTTTTATTTGAAGTTGTTGACAAAAGCCAAATTCCTCTTTAGGATTGTAAGGTAAGAAACAACCAATAAACTTTATTTAGGGCCAAAAGACCTAAAAGCAATAAGGAGATTGTTGGCAATTCCATAAGGAAGCTATGGCAATTTTCTGGCCTGGCTCACAATCTCAGGATTTTCAGCAGAATTTCCTTCCAACCACGAATAGCAATTTTTGTTTCGTTAATTTTTAAAAAGTTTTCACACTTCCTTTGCTATGGAAAGAAAGAAAGAAAGAAAGAAAGAAAGAAAGAAAGAAAGAAAGGAAGGAAGGAAGGAAGGAAGAAAGAAAGGAAGGAAGGAAGAAAGACTTTGAGAATGGGGAGATAAAAGGCAATAAGAAGAGAGAGAAAAGACCTAATTGATATATTAAGGCATGTAAGTTGTTTTGTCTTCCCCGGATTATAATGTAGAGATACAGTACCGAACATTTATGTATTAAGGTATTGCAAAGAAGCAAGGAAGTATGTATGTTTATTGTTGTTTTGTTTTTTTGTGTGTTATCTTTTTATGATGTGTTGTTTCTATGTTTTTTAACGAAAAATGTAAATAAAGATTATTTAAAAAAAAAAAGAAGAGAGAGAAAAGTTATGAGTGTAGTAAGATAGCAACTTCAACTTCTGTAACTTTAGCTCTCAGGATTTTGCAAAATGAGTGTGACCTTTTTGGGAGTAACCAGCTGAGGAAATCTGAATTAAAGGAAATCTCAGTGGTAGATCAGTTTGACCAGATCAGGCAGATAGAGAGGAAGAGATATATTGAGGCCTGATAGAAAGAAGAAAGGATTAACTCAAGATAGCAGAAAGAAGTATGATTGATATGAATTGTATCCCTGGTCTCTTCCACAAGTTTTTGACCCAGCATCTTCTGATTTTCATTCTTCTTTCATGTTTTTCTTTTCAATGCAGCTCATGGAAACTGGGGCAGCTGGGGACCTTGGCAGCATTGCTCCCATAATTGCGTTGTAGAAGGCTCAGCTTCACAGCCTCAGCAACAACGATCCCGTCTGTGTAACAATCCTCCACCTTCTTTCAGTCCTCCAGGCAGGCCATGTCCAGGAGCAAGCCGGGAATCCCAAAGCTGCACAGGACTGCCCTTCTGCCCACGTAAGAGAAGGAAACCACACTTTCAGTCATCCCTAACCAGCAGGGTGTAGAAGGCAACTTAGCACTCCTAGGAAGATGCTCTTTCCCTTTATAGCTGGCCATAGGACAACCCTCTCAACAAAGCAGAAGACCAGAGGCTGTGCTCCTTGGGGTCTTAGGCCAGGTAGTTCGAGGCGAATAGACCCGATTGGCCCATTCAGATTTGCTCGTATTTTGAAACACGCTCATTGGTCATCTTGATTTGGTTTGAGGAGAGCTGCGCTCCAGGACATCTGGAAAGTGCCAGGTTCAAGAAAGCGAGTCCTGATTATTTTTTAGGAGCAGGAAAGATATAATATGCTTTTATGGTGTTTCTCTGAACAAGTATGGAGGCCAGGAAGTGATAAGGACCTGCCTCAGGGATGAAATTCAGCTGGTTCTATTTGTCTCGGGCGAACCGGTAGCGGTGGCTGTGGGAGGCTCCGCCCACCCGCACGGACGTCATGACGTCACTTTTTTGCGATGATTTTAAGCCTCTGCGCATGCGCAAAAGGCTTTGCGACACACGCACATTTGCGAACTGGTAGGGGAGGTAAGTGAATTTCACCCCTGACCTGCCTCTTCTCTCTTCTGACTCCACCCACTTTTTTCTCCCACAGGGGATGGCAACTGGGGCAACTGGAAACCATCGCAACCCTGCAGTGTGACCTGTGGGGTCGGCCAAGTCTTGCAGAAGCGTCTATGTGATAACCCTTCACCAAAGCATGGAGGGAAGCCTTGCCTTGGGGAGGACATACGTAGACAACCCTGCACCATCAAGGTGCCCTGCCCAGGTAATGGGGAAAACAAAGAAGGTAAAAGAATAGAGAGAACCTGTGAGAGACTAATCCACAACCTGAACACAGAGAGTTGCTTCTAAGGTAGCTGAATCCAATGAGGTCCACGCCCCCCCTCTGCCCCCATTATGCATCTGTTCTGTTCTAGAAAGCTTTAACCAAGTTGACATTTGCATAAATTGGAATCTATATTAGATGTGATTTCTGCTCAACTAAGGGATGGGGTAACACTGAGAAACAGGACTGGGTTTAACGGGATCTCTTGAGTCAGGCCCATATTTTATGCCTAGTCGTTAGTACTTCTCGGCTAGCAACATCAGGTGTCTTCAGCAGAGGTGTCTTCGCCCCTCTGGGTACACTGCTAGAGATAGGATCCAGATATATGGGGAAGGATGATTTTGTTCCTGTAAAACTGTGGGTGGCTTTGGGCTTAGATTCGTCTCTCTCAGAGAATCTGGCTGGAGAACTGTCCCCTGGCCTCAACCCTTTTCTGCACTGACCAGATCTTTTTTATACATTTCCCACAGTGGATGGTCATTGGGCTGAATGGTCACCTTGGAAGAATTGCAGCCGTTACCAAGTGGATATTACTATTGAGTGTGAGGAAATCCCTGCCTCTCAGATAAGAAATAGGAAGTGTGTTGGACGGCGCAATGGGGGCAAGCCTTGTGTGGGACTCGGCAGAGAATCCAGGACCTGCTACAATTTCCAAGGATGCAGTGGTGAGTATTGGGAATCAGAAAAAAGGTACAAAGAGCTTCCATGTCCCAAAGCAGTCTTCCAGGGGTGAAATCCAGCAAGTTCTGACAGGTTCTGGAGAACCGGTAGCGGAAATTTTGAGTAGTTCGACGAACCGGCAGATACCACCTTTGGCTGGTCCCAGAGTGGGGTGGGAATGGAGATTTTGAAGTAACCTTCCCTAGCCATGCCCACCAAGCCACGCCCACAGAACCGGTAGTAAAAAATTTTTGATTTCACCACTGCAGTCTTCCCCAATCTGGTAGGCTCCAGGTGCCTGGCAATTACTAGTCTCCTTTTGTCCAAAGAGCTCACTGTCTGGGAATTGAATTCCAGCACATCTGGAGAACCAGAAGGTGGCTGTTTTTTTCTTACACAATCCTGAGAAAGTTCTAAGAAGTAACAGGGATTCCATTGAAACGTGTTTTGAATATTAAGATCCTCCTAAGTGAGGGGCACATGACATGGATTTTGTAATTTGTTAACTAACACAGTTATTTTGTATTTTAATTTGACTTATTTTCTATGTTCAGGCTCATGGCAGATTGGAACGTAGGAAAATGTTTATCCTATCTTTGTATGGATTCATTCATTAGATAGCTTTTAATATTCCTAAACTAAAAAGATAATTTACAGAAGGATGTCTGGATGCTATCTTCTGATAAGAAAAAGTTTCTTATTGTCAACCAATATCTGGTTATCTCAATTCAAACAAGCTTTGTGGTTGATTTACTGTGCAAGGAGGGGTTACTGTTATCTTGTCCAACCAACTTTCCTCTTTTGCTTTTCTTTGTTATGTTAACTATAAAAAGGAATGTAACATGGGGATCAAGGTTCTCTCTCTCCTTTTTCATAGAGAGATCCCACTTTAGCAGGGTACCCCAATAAACTGCTTTTAAATGACCTTCTGACTCGGTTGCTTATTGGGAAGTTAAACCGAGGCAGAACCTAGAGCCAAATTTGGCTACCATGAGTCCAGGTAGAATTTATCTTTTTTATCTTTTTGTGAGCATATCAATTATCTGCTGAAAAAGTTTAGGGCTCCAGCAGTTTGATGCACATGGCGAGATCAAAAGTGCAGTAAAGGGAAAGCAAGAACTTTACAGAAGTAGGGATTAATTTTGAAGGGCTCTTTCTGCATGTTTGCAGCAGAAAATAACTGTAAGCAGCACTCACTGATTGGTCTCTATAAAATCATCTAGAAAACATTCTACCTGAAGAATTTTGCATTTAATATGGTATCAGAAAAACATTATTGTATTCATTTTTAAGTGACAAATGAACCGTTTCCTCGGTAAATCACGCAATGCTTTTAAAACAGAAAAATGTGGATAAGGGAGAAGATTGCTCACCAAGCTAGTATTGTATTCAGTTAACTGCTCCTTTTGTTATTCATAACGCAGATCAGAGGTGGGTTTCAGCAGGTTCTGACCAGTTCTGGAGAACTGGTAGCGGAAATTTTGAGTAGTTCGGAGAACCGATAGTAAAAATTCTGACTGGCTCTGCCCCCATCTATTCTCTGCCTCCCGAGTCCCAGCTGATTGAGAGGAAATGGGAATTTTACAGTAACCTTCTCCTGGATTGGGGACGGAATGGAGATTTTACAGTATCCTTCCCCTGCCACGCCCATCAAGCCATGCCCACAGAACTGGGAGTAAAAATTTTTGAAACCTACCACTGACACAAACCTGGGAGCAAACTCTGCTCACCTCATGACTGACTGACTTTCCATGACTTCTCTTTTTATACTTCCCTGTTCCAAAATCCCTACCTCATCCATTCACAAATGTAGGGGGATTGTGCCACCCTAATGCTGTATATGTGTTTGGCATATAGTTTCATCCTATTATAATAAAATAGGATCAATATCCTATTTCCCCTATCAGGCCTCTAAGGAGTTCTTTTTAGGCCCCTTCTAATTTCATAAGTAATTTGTGGTTGAGGGATAGCAACTTGCTTAAAGTCTTTGAGTGGCTGTGTTTACATGATACCCTTAGCTAGCTTACTTACAAACCTAGGAGAATCATTCAATAAGCTTGGTTAGTGTTAAACTGGGTTAAGATTTTTATGGGAGGCTTATTTTATCAGACAAACATAACTCATCTGGTTGATTAATGGAAAGCCAAAAGGTTGTTTAATATAGTACCCAAGTTACACATGTCTGAACGCTATGATAAGGCAGGGATTCCCACCAGTGGTGAAATCCAAATTTTTTTACTACTGGTTCTGTGGGCGTGGCTTGGTTGGTGTGGTGTGGCTTGGTTGGGGTGGCTTGGTGAGCATGGCAGGGGAAGGATACTACAAAATCTCCATTCCCACCCTCTCCAGGGGAAGGATACTGCAAAATCCCCATTCCCACCCCACTCTGGGGCCAGCCAGAGGTGGTATTTACTGGTTCTTCAAACTACTCAAAATTTCCGCCACCGGTTCTTTGAACTGCTCAAAATTTCCGCTACCGGTTCGTCGAACTGCTCAAAATGTCCACTACCGGTTCTTCGAACTGCTCAAAATTTCCGCTACCGGTTCTCCAGAACCTGTCAGAACCTGCTGGATTTCACCCCTGATTCCCACTCATGTCTTTCTGGGCCCAGCCTGAGATGTCAATCGTGGTCCTATATTAGATAAAGGGCAATGGTGAAGGCTGCCCCCGATGAAGTCTGCTGGTTTGATTGTTGTGTTTCTTCTCAGTGCCAGGAGCCTGGACAGTTTGGAGTCCTTGGGGTCTCTGTGAGCCAGCCTGTGGACCTGAACCTATAAGGTCTCGTAAGAGAGTCTGCGAGCCCATCTATCCTAATTATCCGTAAGTCTGAAATCTGGAAGGAAGGAGGGTTGAAATAAGAACAGTTTCAGTCAAAGGTTAGGACTGCACTACTGCTTCCAAACTTTGTGCTTGAAGTGGAAAAGAATGAAACTTTGATCTTGGGTTTTACCGATTAGATTGATAGATCCTTATAGAAATGGTTAGCTTATATTATTATGAAAAAACAAAAAGTTGTGATTTGATGTTAATGTCTTATTTTATTGCAATAGAGAGAGTCGGAAGTCAATGCTTCTTTTTCTTTTTCCTAACCCTTCCTCACTTCTCTTCCCCCTCTTCCTCCCCACTGCTTTCCTATTTACTTTTGTATTTTGTATCTTATTTTATCTTATAACTCAATAAAAATGTTAAACCAAAGGTGGGGGGGAGAAAGGTTAGGACTGAACTAAAACTTTTAATCTAGTTCTCAACTCTTGGATATTTGTTGCTACAACTTATTTATTTTATTAGTCGCATTTTTATGCCACCCAACTCCCCAGGGACTCTGGGCGGCTTACAACAGAGAATAAAACAGTGCGAACAATATCCCATACAAAAATTTAAAAGAAAACATTAAAACCCGTACACTCCAATTCGTGGCTGGGTCTTGCAAGATCACCGTAGCGAGATCAACGGCCCCAGGCCTGCTGGAAGAGCCAGTCTTCACTGCTTTCCGGAAGGCCAGTAGGGTGGGGGCAGTCCGGACTTCAGGGGGTAATTGGTTCCAGAGAGCCGGGGCAGCCACAGAGAAGGCCCTCCCCCGCGGGCCCGCCAGCCGACATTGTTTAGCTGATGGGACCCGGAGGAGACCGACTCTGTGGGATCTTACCGGTCGCTGGGAGCTATGCAATAGAAGGCGGTCTCGAAGATAGCCTGTCCCTGAGCCATGTAGGGCTTTAAAGGTAATAACCAACACCTTGAATTGTGCCCGGAGACCGATAGTCTACTTGTTTTTATGAAGTTAGTTCAGTAACGGCCATTCAACTGCACTTGCCATCTAGCAGAACTTAGAAGGAGTTCCTGCTCACACCCTCGTATGTATGAAGAGCATATTCTGACTGGGGATTTTCAGCATTCCTAAAAATTGCCCAAAGCAGCCTTTTCTCCTTTGGAACCTTTCCAAATAGTTGAAGACTGATGAGGATTGCAATTTTCAGGATTCCCAATGTGCTGGGAGGTGTCATCTTAGAGAAGGCCAGTAAAAAGAAACATTTTGGGTGGGTTCTGGCTCTTCTGCCTTTTGCATCTCATTCTGAAATATCTTCTTTTAGTTTCAAAGGAACAAGGGAAGCCATAGCCTGGGGCAGTGGTGAAATCTGAAGCGGTTTACTACCGGCTAGCCGGCTGCACGTGCGCGGTACCCGCCAAACATGTGCTGCATGCGCATGCACAGTGCACACCAAACGCACACCATGTGAACATGCATGCACAGTACGCGCCAAACACATGCTTCACACAGAAAAAGGAGGCTTGGGAAGGTAAGCAGAACAGCGAGGGCGGGGGAACAGCTGTGCTGCGTGATTTAGATTCACTAGAAAGTAGGATTTCCTGCTTTCTATGATTTTAAATCGTGCGGCACAGCTGATCGTTGGAAATACTGGCTCGGAGGAACCGGTAGCTTTTTTGTATTACTGGTTTTCTGAATGAGAAGAGTCAGTCAGACCGTCAGCCATTCTGGAGTCCTATTAGGAGTACCATGTCTTGATCTAATCAATAAAAAGCAAATCCCAACCAATTAAAAAGGATTGTAGGTGTGACAACCAAGCTGTATCCTGCGTCTCTCATTGTTCTGCCCCAGCTACAGATCCCAAAGAACGCAGCACACACAAAGTCCGTTCAAACCTTAGTTTACTAAATAAACCAGTCTTTTACAACAACGGCTGTTAATTAACTGCATTAACAGCCGGCAAAAATTCAAAGAATAATAACTGAAAGCTTACTATGGTTGGCAGAATGCCCAGAAGCAATTTGCAGGAAGCTGATAAGAAAAGCAAGACAAGACAGGAAGGTATGTGAATGAAGTTGTTCCCTGCAAATTGCTTCAGTCGGAGTGCCAACTGCACAGGCTGCTGGCGCACCACACCAGCCTCCTCGCTGTCGGAATCAGCTACTAGCTGCACAGGCCGTGTACGGGCCACAACACTGATATATATATATATATATGATGAGGAACAGGTTAAGGAAAGCAATTCTTGCTGGTGGAAGAAGCATCAACTTGTTGCTCTCTTAAACAACTTAGCCTCAACGGCAATCAGTTCCTGTGATAAATGATTCACCATTTCTGGGTAAAGAGCAATTTCTGCAATTGCTCTTGGCATCTCTCAGTTTCTATTGCTCCCTGTCCATTTCTCACCTTCTCATTTATTGGCTTGCTTCTTTCCCAGAAAAGACATTGACTGGGGATGCTCTGAGCTGGCTTTCCATACTTTAAGGCAGGGCTTGGAGTGATTTGGCTTACTCTGTGATTTCTTTTCTTCTTCTTTCTTTCTTTTTTTTTAATGTGTTGCCTTTCTATCTGTTTGGTCTTCTTGCTTTCTCCCACAGCTTTCTTTTCAGGGAAGTGCCTCGCGCTCCTTGATGTCACAGGAACAGTAACATCTGAGCCCTGATGCTCAGAGCACAAAAAAGGAAACCAATACAAAACAATGGCAAATTTCCTGCTCAAGCCGGAAACCATTTTTGTGCCCCACAGCCAGCTCTGTCATGAGTCCCAATGAAATAGCTGCTGCTAGAAGGTGGGGAGGAGCAGTAAATTGTTGGAAAGCAGGAGTAGTTCTGACATGTGGCTTACCTCTGGCTCAGGAGAAGACAATAGCCCATGGCAAGACAAAATGTCAACTGCTCATCTAATCGGATTCTGTAAATGGAGATAGAGTGCTTCTGGGTGCCATCTTGTTCTGCCCAAGGCAGCCAGTGGGAGGGTTATATCTGGTTTTCATGTGAGAGATGGTCTGTCCAGCATATCCAGTTAAGACTGCCAAGAATGACATTCAAGTTTGGGTGTGTGTGGGGGGGGGGGCGGAAGAGGGTCTTTAACTTTGTCCCCATTAAATTTATTTATTTTTTATTTATTGGTTCGATTTATATGCCGCCCTTTTCCAGAGACTCAGGGCGGCTTACAATGCATTAAGCAGTAGCCTTCATACTTTTTGTATATACCTGCTTAGTAGGGCTTTCGGCCCACCCTAAGTGGTGTTCTTTTTTATACAAAGTCACCTTATTGCACCCACAATCCGGGTCCTCATTTTACCTACCTCGAAAGGATGGAAGGCTGAGTCAATCTTGAGCCTGGTGAGATTTGAACTTGCAGTAAATCCTGTCGGGAGGCAAGATTAGGGCCCTTCTATTTTCTCAATAATGTTGATCAAAGTATTTTTTCCTTGCTCTTAGCAGTTTCTTCTGTTACTAGTGGAGACAGTAAATTTGAATCACTGGAGGAAGCTAAATCCTTGCAGGGAAAGACCATAGTAATCTCTGCACTACAACCTATAGCAGGGGTGTCAACCTCACGGCGTCACGGCAGTATCACGTGATGTATCTGGACTTTCCCCCCCTTTGCTAAACCAGCTGTGGGCGTGGCCAGCGCGTGACACATTCAGCCTGTGGGCCAGGAGCTAAACAGCCCAGATCTATAGCATCATTTAGAGCAGTGGTCTCCAACCTTTTGGGCACCAGGAACCGGTTCCGTGAAGAGAGGTTTTTCCACAGACCGGAGATGGTGTGGTTTTGTGTGCTGCCTGCATCCCATGGATGGGGCTTCGCTTGTTTGCACTGCCCGGTTTCTGGCGGTCTGCAGACCAGGGGTTGGGGACCCCTGTTTTAGAGTCATCCAACCATTGTCTTGTCAAAATAACAGTAACACAATAGCAATAGCACTTATACTTATATACAGCCCTCTCTAAGTGATTTACAGAGTCAGCATATTGCCTCCAACAATCTGGGTCCTATTTTACCGACCTCGGAAGGATGGAAGGCTGAGTCAACCTTGAGGCAGTGAGACCTGAACTGCCAAACTGCTGGTAGCTGGCAATCAGCAGAAGTAGCCTGCAGTACTGCATTCTATCTACTGAGCCACCGTGGCTCTTACAAACAGGCTTTATTTATTTAATTTATTTATTTATTTATGTAATTTATATGCTGCCCTTCTCCTGAAGGACTCAGGGCGGCTTACAAAGAAAACATTCAACAATTCAAAAATTACATAAAAATTAAAATCCAATTAAAATTAATTAAAATTATTTCAATGTAAAAATCCCCCAACGGATCAGCCCATTTGATAAGAGCCACGACTTCAGTTCGCGGCGGAAGGAGAGGCGGTCGGGGGCTGTCCTAAGCCTGGTGGGCAGACCGTTCCAGAGGGTTGGTGCTCCCACAGAGAATGCTGTCCCCCTGGGGGCTGCCAGCCGACATTGTCTGGTTGACGGCACCCTGAGGAGGCCCGTTCTGTGGGAGCGCTGGGAGGATGGCAGGTGGTGATCCAGCAAGTACCCCAGGCCTAAGCTATGTATATAGCTGGCTTGGTGATATTACAAAGGCATTATAAATTGCTAGTGCATGAATGATGCTTTTATGTTCTGTTCCTTAGCATCACCCTATTCCCAATATCCAATAAAACTTTTTAAGTGACTGGTTGGGATTCCAACTCTTTTTGTAAGAGGGCGTTCAAAGAAAGCCAACTAAGGGATTTTTGCCCGAGCAGCATATTCTCTGTGGCAGTGGGGAAAGGAGAGAGGACCAAGAATGATTGGATCATGGTGATGGGAAATTAAAGAGGTGATGGGTAAGGTCTCTGAGTGTCATATAAAACCTGGATATTACTGGTACTCATATCTATCCTAGACAAATAAGATTGGAGCACAAGGAAAAGAAAACGTACCATTCAATCTTTCTGGGATGTTGGCTCTGATTCTCTATTTTTTTTTCTCTCTTGGGCTGCAGAAAGACGATGGTAGGAGAGGATGGGAAGGAAAAAAATATAAGTTTTTGGGGAATCCCCAAACCTCAATGTAAGCGTCTGGATGGACAAGACTTGGAAGTGGTGGAAGAAACACGATGCCAAAATGTGCCTCCTTGTGAAGGTGAGGAGGTCACAGTGAGATTCCCTTGGGAAAAAAAATATATATCAAAGCTTTGCATGTCTGCTCATCTCAGGAGGCAGGGGGCAAATGGCACTTCTAATTCTGGGCTATCTTGGGAAGCATCATGGACAAATCTGCCAGGGACTATCCTGTATTTAGGAATGTTTTGAAGCTGCTGGCATTTATCTGTGGTCATAGAGAGAATGCAGGTGTCAAGTACTAGACATATTCCAAGTATCCCAAGGCCAATTTTTCTGCAAAAAACTGGAGGGAGGCAGAGGGAGGATTCAATTATGTACACAAGAATGCTCCTGTTCTCCACTGGTTTGGAAATTTGTAATCCTAAAGGTTATGCCTCTCAGATCCTTGTGGACTCTCTGCCCAGATTCCATTTTTCAATACAACTTCGGTGGCTGGTTAGTGATGAATGTAAAGGAAGCATTTTGTGGGGAGAGTCTTTATTCCTGCATCAAAGGCTAAATCCTATTAAAGAACAGGGAGCAGATTGGAATCTGCTTGTGGAGTTCTGCATGAATTGCTCTAGAGCAGCAAGGATTTGATTCCTGGTTATTTAACAAAGGAATTCCCCAATTCAGTGTAAAGCTGCTAGGATAGAAGACATTTAGGAAAACGGTTGTTTTTAATGTCTGAATTCAAATGTGGCACTGAATATTCAAAGTAGGACTGGACTTCCTGTTTACTCCAATTCCTTTTTTACTTTCTTGTAGACTGATTTTGCAGAACTGGCGGCTATAAATTGCTGTACTGGAAATTCCTGCGAACCATAATATATGCGGCTGTGAGAAATGCTGACTTTGCTTCCTATGATTTTTGCACCCATTATCTACTGCTTCTTTAATGATTAAATTATCATAGAATAATAAATTACATTGGACTTTTGTCTTTTCTATATACAGTAAAGGAGAAAAAAAAATGAACATGTTCTGTGTTGTCTTCCTGTTTTTCAAATGCTATAAGGCATACTTGATTTTAAATATTTTTTTTTAGCATTGCATCTATATTTACAGTTTAAGGGGTATAGTTCAGTGGGTGTTAAGCCAATGATCCCTCATTTAAGAGTTCCACAAGAGTTAAAGATACACTTTAGCAAAGGAATCAACTTGGCATTCAAATGTTTTACTTGTAGATACAATGAAAAATGCAGTGAACATATAGATGTGCTGAAAAATAGATTAGTCAGTTTGCTTTAAAGCCATAAACACTTGTAAAACAAAAATCCATTTTAAAGATTTCATTATTAAATTAATGGCATTGTCAGCTACCACCTCATGCTGGCTTGTGCTTCAGTGCTACGAAGTGACAGATTGCTATGAACTGCTATGAACTGACAGACAGAGACACTATAAAAAAGATGTTGAGACTATAGAAAGAGTGCAGAGAAGAGCAACTAAAATGATTAGGGGATTGGAGGCTAAAACATGATGAACGGTTGTTGCAGGAACTGGGCATGGCTATTCTAGTGAAGAGAAGGACCAGGGGAGACATGATAGCAGTGTTACAATATTTGAGAGGCTGCCACAGAGAGGAGGGGGTCAAGCTACTTTCCAAAAGTATCTGAAGGCCAGACAAGGAATAATGGATGGAAACTGAACAAGGCGAGATTCAACCAGGAAATAAGGAGAAATTTTCTGACAGTGAGAACCAACCAACCAATGGAAGAGAAGTTGCCTTCAGACATTGTGGGAGCTTCATCACTGGAAGCTTTCAAGAAGAGACTGGACTGCCATCTATCAAAAATGGTGTAGGGTCTGCTTGGGCGGGGGTTGGATTAGATGACCTACAAGGTTCCTTCCAACTCTGTTAATCGGTATCTATCTGCCATGAACTGTGGGGAGGGAGAATGAAGGGGAAGCGAAAGTAAGTGCTGTTTCTCCTTAAGACAGGGGTCCCCAACCTGTGGTCCACAGCCCACTACTGGACTGTGGGCTAATCGCCAGTGGGCTGTGTGAGGGGCCAGCTGGTGTGCGCGCACAGGGCCCTACTCACGCGAGTGTAGTCATAGGCCCCTTGTGCGAGCCTCGTGGGCGCTCACGGCCTCACTTGCACAAACATCACCGCGAACATCATGGGTGCTCATGCGCGCATGCACACATACGCTTGTCCCTTTCACAAAATCACCTGCTCTTTCCCCCCTCCCTTTGCTCTGGGTCACCAACCTGGAAAAATTGGGGAACTCTGCCTTAAGACACTGCCTTAAGACACTTGGACAGATTGTTACAAAATTATCTTGCCTGAATCTGATTGGTGATACTGGGGTGGGCAATGGGACATAGTTAAGGGAGACAAAAGTTGAACTTAGGGATTTTGGCAGCCGATTCTCAGTTCTCTAATCAAGTATACCTTTCTCAACAAATGGAGCCAAGGATCATTTCTGTTTAGAGGTTTAAGTTGTGGCAAGTCTCACACTCTCGGTTTATTCCTCCTGGAGATGTCAGTTAATAATCTATTTGAGGTGTGTGTGTGAACATACTTTGCCTTTCTCCACATATTATTGAACCTCCATGCAATCCTGAAGCCTGATTGGCAGCAGACAAAAGTGGCAGGGATCTGAAGTGGTAGAATGCAGTGCATTGCTTTAGACTGGATGGATGTTGAAAAAAAATTTGGCCAGCTAAAGAAATAATGCAAAATAGCTCCATGAGAAATAATTTAAGAACTTTTTTCTCTCCCCTGTTAGTTTTTTTTTTTTATGATTATTTGTAGAGTTTGATAAGAAGCATCAAGAAAATGGTATTCTCCTGTCTTCACGGTAACCTGCCATCCTGTTACAGAGTTAAATACTACTTTATTGACATTCATGAATTACAAATAGGAGAGGTGTAGGTAGGTACACAGATGCAGAGAAGCTAATCTCCATTTTCTAGGCTGTGGGCGTTCCTCATATGATTCTTCCACTGTCAGCAGTTACTTGTGGTTTCTGCTTTTCCAGGCATTGCTAGGTCAACCACCGTTTCCTCTTTCCTGTATTTCTTTGCAAGTCATTGTGTGTTACAAAGATTTCCCCGTTTGTGTTCTGGAGAAAATAAGATTACACTTGCCAAGTGTAACATATGAGAACAATTTGAGCTTGCAGTACTTTTTCTACTTCATTACAGGTAGCCCTCGACCTACGACCCCAATTGAGCCCAAGATTTATGTTGCCAAGTGAGAAATTTGTTAAGTTAGCTAACAAATTTTACGACCTTTCTTGCCACATTTGTTCAGGGAATCACTGCAGTAACACCGTTGTTAAGTGAATCTGGCTTCCCCATTGACTTTGCTTGTCAGAAGGTTGCAAAAGGGGATGGCGTGACCCTGGGACACTGCAATCGACATAAATATGAACCAGTTGTTGAGCGTCCGAATGTAAATCACATGACCGTAAGGATGTTGCAAAATGTGTGAAAAATGGTCATAAGTCACTTTTTTCAGTGTCGTTGTCAGTTTGAACAGTCAGTAAATGAACTGTCGTAAGTTGAGGACTATCTGTACGATTAGCCCGCAATGATCTCTTATGCATACATTGACCCCATTCACACTGTTTGATAGAGGATTGCTATAACAGGTAGGATCTACAAGAAAATCCACTAGGTTCTGGACAGCCATGACACTTCCTTTTCTAGGAAGTCCCTTTTCATTTCCTCCAGTTTTCCGTTCCCCTCTTGCTGATGTTCCTGGATCATGACTGGGTTCAGTTATTATTGGGCTAGATTTGTCTTCTCTTCCTTAGACTGAGGTTCTTCTAAATCCCCTTCTTCTGCTTGGAGAATGTCATTTTCACTCCCAAAGGATTCTGAGATGATTATTGATCTAGGTAAGAGATTTCTCAAGCTTGACAACTTTAATGTTGTCTGGGGAAATGTGGAGGTTCAGCTCCACACATCTTAAAGCTGAAAAACACTGGTACAGACCAGGGATGATGTCCAGCAGGTTCTGACAGGTTCTGGAGAACCGGTAGCGGAAATTTTGAGCAGTTCGGAGAACTGGCAAATACCACCTCTGGCTGGCCCCAGAGTGGGGTGGGAATGGATATTTGCAATATCCTTCCCCCAGGAGTGAGGAGGGAATGGAGATTTTGCAATATCCTTCCCCTGCCACGCCCACCAAGCCGCACCCACCAAGCCACACCATGCCCACCAGAACCAGTAGTAAAAAAATTTGGATTTCACCACTGGTACAGACGGTAACTAAATGGACCTTACTACATAAAGGCAATACCCAAGTACCACATGGCAAGGACAAAGAATATCACGTCTTGCCTATTGTGAGACACACGGCTGGTTTTTACTGGAAATGAAATGCTGAACTAGAAGACTCTTCAGCCATGCAGATTAGCAAGAAATTATCTATTTGGAGTGGAGCTTTCACATATATGGATTTAAAGTCAGGAATGCAGCTACCACCAAAATGGAGATCACTAAGCCAGATTTAGGGTGTAGGAACAGAGTAGGCTAACAAGATACAAAAAAAAAAAAAGGGAAGAGGCGAGCATGATTTTGGGGCCCGGTCCTAGGAAGGACAGGCTGCTACAGGGGGACTTCCCCAGGTCAACGACAATGCATAGGCTATACAAAAGCTAGGTTAGAGATTCCCATCTGCCTCTTTGATTGTCTGCCTGGGAGATGCTTCTCTACTGAACGATGCTGAGATGCTGGTGGTCCATGGACAAAGCCTTTGAGAGCGGGGAAAATTGGAGGTCACATTGTTCTGCTTTGCTGGGGAGAGCTAGGGAGAAAGGGAAGTAGGTTAGTTAGGAAACATATACTTCTGGTTTCATTTGTCTAAGATTACATCTAGCCGAGGTCAACGTGATGCTTCCAGATGTTTTCTGAAGTTCAGTTATCAAGTTATCAATAGTTGTACCCATTCTGGCCAATGATGAGGAATGCATTATGTGTTGCAGTGTCAGTGGGAAGGTCATGGTTCCACATCCCCTTTTCTAAATGACCTTTTCCCCCCCTTCCTTCCTCTTCTGAGCTCTAAAAACAGATTGGAAGGGGTTATTCCTGGTCCTTTAATATGGAGAAAGACACAGCAGTTAAAGGAAGTTCAGTTGAGGGATGATTGAGGACCCAGATTGTTGGGGGCAATAAGCTGACTCTGTAAACCACTTAGAGAGGGCTGTAAAGCACTGTAAAGCGGTATGTAAGTCTAAGTGCTACTGCTAGTGCTATTCTGACCTAAGTGACCTTGATCTGTTGTCTAACCAGAGGTGGGTTTCAGCCGGTTCTGACCAGTTCTGGAGAACCGGTAGCAGAAATTTTGAGTAGTTCGGAGAACCGGTAGTAAAAACTCTGATTGGCCCCGCCTCCATCTATTCTCTGCCTCTCGAGTCCCAGCTGATTGGGGAGGGAATGGAGATTTCACAGTATCCTTTCCCTGCCACGCCCACCAAGCCATGCCACGCCCACCAAGCCATGCCCACAGAACCGGTAGTAAAAAAATTTGAAACCCACCACTGTGGCTAACCCTAGAAGCTACATAGAAACTTACGGAGTGGAGTTTGCACTGCGTTCATGAATCTATCAAAGAGATCTTTGGTAGATACCCGTCTCTGAACAATCAAGAAATTTCCAAGGAAAAAACAACCCTGATAGGGCAAGATACAAATCCCTCTCCCTTCTAACACTGAAGATGCTACCTAGTCTGGTAACAAAATGTCTATAAACAAACAACCAAGTTCTGAGAGCAGCAAGGATTTCACAATAAGAAAAATGAACTTGATGGATACAGATAGTCCTCGACTTACAACCACAACCGAGACCAAAACGTCCGCTGCTAAGCAACACAATTAAAGTGAGTTTTGCCCCATTTTATGACCTTGCTTGCCACAGTTGTAAAGTGAATCACTGCAGTTGTTAAGTTAGTAACACGGATGTTATGTGAATCTGGCTTGCCTATTGACTTTGCTTCTCAGAAGGATGCAAAAGGTGTTTGTATGACCCCGGGCACTGCAACCGTCATAAACACATGTCAGATGCCACGTGTCTGTATTTCGATCACGTGACCATGGGGATGCTGCAACAGTCGTAAGGGTGAAAAAATGGCCATAAGTCACTTTTTTCAATGCCATTGTGACTAAACGAATGGCTGTAAATCAGGGACTACCAGTATATGCAAGAACTGTAATCCAGGCAAAAGGTAAGTAGTTTACAGAGTCAGCAATATACTGACTCTGTAAACCGCTTAGAGAGTGCTATAAAACGCTATGAAGTGGTCTATAAGTCTTAAGCGTTATTGCTATTGCTAAAAGGGGCTGAATTTTTTTTTCCAGTTCAGAACAAGAGATAACTTTTGGAAGTCATGCAAATACCAGACACCTCCCCGGGGGGAAATGCTCCTGGTTCGGACCGGTTCGGTTAAACCGGTAGCGATGACGGCTGGTGGTTCGGAGAACCGGTAATGATGGCAGCTTGTGGCTCCGCCCACCTGCCCGGTCGTCATTACTTCCTGGTTTTAATCAGGAAGGAAGTAACCTGTTTTTTACCCTCTGTGCATGCGCAGAGGGTTGATGCGCGCTTGTGACGCGGTGCGTGCACTTCCAAATGGTAGGGAAGGTAAGAAGATTTCATCCCTGCACCTCCCTAATTCATTGAACTATAAGAAAGAGGAGATGTATATAGGTAGTCCTCTTTAAACAACCATTCTTTCAGTGAGTGTTCAAAGTCACAGTAATGCTAAAGAAAGGGGGGGGGGGCTTATGAAAGTCCTTGTAATTGGAGCCCTCGCAGCATCTCTGCTGTCTAGTGATCGCAATTCAAGTGCTTGGCAACCAAAATGCCCCAGCCATCCCACCAGATGGCTCTATCTATCTATCTAGGCCCAACGCAAGGGGGAACTCTGAGCCGGTAAAGGAGAAATGTTCTTGGAAGGTTAGCGAAGGGCTCAAAGAAAGGGAAAGGGAGTGCGAGTGGGGAAACATGAAGACTTACTGGGGAGTTGGGGCTTGGCGGCGCCTCTGGGCAGCTCCGACGTGGGGCGCAGGTGATGACCGACGGTCGCATCTGAAAGATTGAGTCAGAGAAAGAAGTGAGGAAGGGAAGGGAAAAGGAGAGGAGAGGAGAGGGACAGGAGAGGAGAGGAGAGGAGAAGAGAAAAAAAGGGCACTGAGCCAACTTACCTGCTGCAGTTGGGCGACTGTGAGGACGGGCTCCGAGACGGGCTCTTTTGGGGGGCATTTTTGTGCGCAGGAGGGCAGAAGCCCATGGGAATCCCTGCAAGTGGCAGTGCTGGAGGTGGAGACACAGGACACGGCAATGGGGGCAACGGGGACAGATGCAGGAGGTGCCACCTGGTCCGGAGAGCTGAAGAGGAAGAGAGAGACACACACAAAACCTGTTATCCATCGGCAGGAAGGCTTTCTAGCCTTCACAGAGCTGGATTCATTGCATCTTTCCTATAGGACACTCCCTCCCCCCCGGCATGGAATCCAAACCCAGAGGAAGGATGATTGCAAGAGAGAAAATAAGCAAATCGATTAAGCTTTTTCCAACAGGGAGAGCTCTGGAACTGCCGGAGGGGTACAACTGAGGTGACTAGCGGGGTTTTTAGAACCTATAATGCAATACCGTATCAGATGGGTTGGGATTTCCTTCTGTGACTTCAGGGTCAGTCTCATCACTTGAGTAGTGTTAAGAAAAGTGCTTCTGAGCCATGTGCAGAATGTCATGTCCCTGCCAGGGTCTAACACCAAGGAGGCCTCATCTTGCAGCATAACATTGCTTATAACAGAGAAGTCTTTCCTGCTGTTACTGTTGGGCATCACACTTCCTTATGAAGGTAAAACATTTGGTCAAGTGCAGGGGTTAAATGCTACCAGTTCGGGGCAGTTCACCTGAACTGGTAGGGAAAATGCTACTGGTTCACCCGAACTGGTAGTAAAAAAATGCTTTAAAAAGTAAATAAAAAAAGTTCCGACGATCGTGCAACACAGCTGATCCTCAGAACTTTTTAAAAACTTTTTTTTAGCATTTTTTTTTTTACTACCGGTTCGGGCAATAGGTAGTAAAAAAATGCAAAAAAAAAAAAGTTTAAAAAAGGTTCAGACAATCAGCTGTGACAATCAGCTGTGCCACGCAATCGTGGGAACTGTTTTTTTTTTACTTTTTTTTTTTTTACTACCTATTGCCCGAACTGGTATTTTTGTGTAAAATGTGATAGTTTGTTTTTAAGGTCTCTGTGACTCTGTGAGGCTCCTGCTTGTTGCAGGGGCCATTTTGTGTGAAGTCCAGTTGCTTTTGCTTTGTGTGTGACTCAGTTGGGTAGCTTTTGTGTTATTTTTGTGTAAAGTGTGATAGTTGGGTTTTCCCAGTCACATGACTACCAAGCCACACCCACCCAGTCACATGACCACCAAGCCACGGCCACAGAACCGGTAGGGAAAATTTTTGAATTTCACCACTGGTCTAGTGGTTAAAGAAACAGGCTAGAAACCAGAAGAAGATCATTAGTTCTAGTCCTGCCTGTTCTACGCATGAAAGCCAGCGGGGTGACTTTGGGCCAGTTCCTTTCTCTCAGCCCAGCCCAACTCACAGGGTTGTTGTTATGAAGAAAATAGGAGGAGGAAGGAGCATTAGGTATGCTTACTGCAATGTGGGTGTCAGTTTATTATTTCAGACACAAGATCGGTTTGGTTGCATTTGTGCACCAGAAAAGGAAAATGGGGTCAGGAGACCTCGGATTATAGCTCGGTGTTTCGATCCGGCAGCCTGTTAAAATGGATGCTACCTTTTAAAACAGAGATGTGGGGGGAGGGTGATATTCAAAACAGAAAGGCCTATTTCCTCTCTTTGCACCCCCACCTCCTTCCAGTAATGGCCTCATCTTTGTACCAGGAATGATTTATATATATATATATATTTGGAATGTATCTTCTAGAACAGGAAGAGAGGCCTGTAGGGTACCGGATGCAGACTTTTGCATTGTGCGTGTGGCTTTCGCACCAGATTTTGCACTTGGTGTGGTGGGGACCTCAGCCCGAAAGGTAACGGGGCGGGGGAGCTAAGTCCAAAAAAGAGGAGTGGACCAGGAGAAATATTAAATTTGATTTAATTAAAATTAAATCCATTGATTTCATTGGGAATTATCACTCTGAATATATTTAATCATGTTCTTTTTGGGTCACCTTAAGAAAGTGATCCGTTCTTGGCAACTTTTAAATAGGCTGTGGAATTTCAAGGTGTGCTCTTCTACCTTAAGATAAAATAAGCCCCTTAGTCTATGAATCAGTTCCCAGAATAGTTTTCTAGCTTAAAAACATGGCTCATATCCAACCTGTCGGTCTCTTTTAGTTTCCCCTCTCCATTAATATAAGACAAACAGAAGTGAAATGAATCTAAGATAGCCTACATATTTTAATCTCTTATATTATTCATGAGAAATTGAAGTTAAGAGATTAATGACTCACCCAGTGCAACCGGATTTAAAATTCACAGTGTGCCATTTAAACTGGAATGTTATTAAACTGGAAACATTTGCCTCCAGACAACGGCTATATATCAATTGGACGTTAGAATTTTAAACTTTTGAAAGGGAAAATAATGCCAGGTTTGCTAAAGCGGGACCTTTTGCAAAGAAAATGTTCAACCCAGTTCTGTGTTTTCTGAAATAGAGAAAGGATACGTGGATTTGGTCCCTTTGTTTGGAGACATGGTCACAGGGGAATTTATTCAGGGGCACTTCAGTATCTTACCAGCTATAGTGGTGATGGCTAACGATTTTGCCATTGCGTGCCAAAACCGGGGGAGCGCAGGGTGTCACGTGTGCGCGTGCCCACACCCATAATTCTATGCACCCACCCGAGGCCCTCTGGAGGCTGGAAAGTGGGACCGGAAGTCGGCAAATGGGCTGTTTCCAGCCTCCGGAGGGCTTCTGAGGGAGTGGGGAAGGCCGTTTTTGCCCTCCCCAGGCTCCTAGAGAGACTCTGGAGCCTGGGGAGAGCAAAAAACAGGCCTTCCCCCAATCCCCCAGGCTCTCTGGAGGCAGGAAACAGCTTGTTTCCCTACTTCTGGTGGGCCCAGAAGGCCCAAAAATCAGCTGGCCGGTATACGCATGCTCGCCAGAGCTGAGTTCACATGCCCACTGATATGGCTCCGCGCGCCACCTGTGGCACGCATGCCATAGGTTCGCCATCATGGAGCTATAGAATAAAAGAGAGGGTGAAGGAATTTCTAGCTAACAGCTGGAAGTCAACTATTCTAAGACTTCTCCAGAAATTCTGCTTTTCAGATAAGAAAAAACTACTACAAAGCCAGGTCTGGAGTCACTGTCTAAAGAAAGAAGCCTCTTAAAACAGGAGTGTCTCTTTGAGAAAGGAGAAGAAAATGAAATCAGACTAGCGGGAACCCACTATCTTAAAGAGCCAGGAGCATCAGGAAATGACAAAGCCGTATATTGGCCGGTTGTGAAGTGACTGGCATAAAAGGGAGTACAGGTAGTCCTCGACTTACAACAGTTCGTTTAGTGACCATTTGAAGTTACCATGGCACTGAAAAAAGTGATTTATCACCATTTTTCACCCTTTTGACTGTTGCAGCTTCTACATGTTCACATGGTTTACATTTGGATGCTTAACAACTAACTCACATTTATGACAGTTGCAGTGTCCTGGAATCATAGTGATCCCCTTTTGGGACCGTCTGACAAGCAGAGTCCATGGGGAAACCAGATTCACGTAACAACTCGGTTATTTATTTAACCACTGCAGTGATTCACTTAACAAATGTGGCAAAATAAATCGTAAAATGAGGCAAAACTCACTTTTTAAAAAATTTTTTTGATTTATATGCCGTCCTTCTCTGGAGACTCAGGGCGGCTTACAGTGCGTTAAGCAATAGCCTTCATACTTTTGTATATTTTATACAAAGTCACCTTATTGCCCCCACAAACTGGGTCCTCAATTTACCTACCTTAGAAAGGATGGACGGCTGAGTCAACCTTGAGCCTGGGGAGATTCAAACTTACTTTAATTGCAGACAGCTGGTGTTAAATTACAGTGCTTTGTCTGCAGAGCTATCCAGGCTCTTAACAAATTTGTCACTTAGCAACAGCAATTTTGGGCTCAGTTGAGGTTGTATGTTGGGGACTATCTCTATGTGTCTTCATCAGTGGTGGGTTTCTACCAGTTCGCCCTGTATCCGTGAACCGGTAGCAGCGGTGGCGGCAGGAGGCTCCGTCCACCCGCCCGGACGTCATCACAAACGGTCTGCGCTACGCGTGCGCAGTCACAGTTGCAAACCAGTAGCAAAGGTAAGTGGAACCCACCACTGGTCTTCATGTAAGAGGATGAGAGTTCCCCAGCGTTAACGCTACTATAGGTGGAAAAAATTTCTAAGTAATAGGAAATAAATCCAGAGTAAAACTGTGTCCCCAATAGGAGATTTCAACTTTTGGGTGTAAAGCTGAGCTGTAAGCCAGGACATTTTTAGCCTAAATCTTGTACTGTTCTTGCAAACGCCAATAGCGAACTCTCAAAATAGGTATGCTTCTTTATGGATTTTCCCCTCAATGGTGTTTCTTTGTTTCTCACCCCCCTCTCTTATAATAAAAGGCATATGTTTCATCAAGTCCCTCCTCTTTGTCCTCTCTATGCAATATAGAGATGATACCATTGAGCTACCTTGCAGGGGTGTTATACGCAGAAAGTAGAACAGAACCTCGAAGCTTGTCATTCTTCAATGCTAAGATTGTCCCTGGGGCGGATTTTCTCCTAGGGTTACACTGCCCTCTACTGAGCACTCAATATACTCACTCAGCTGCAATAGGCCGGCATGACAATCGCCTGACTTTGGATGCTTTCTGTCCCTCAGGGATTCTTCTCACATCCAGGTTGGCCTTCCGCTTGATCGGACAGGTGGGCAGACGGTAGGCTGGGAGGCGGTGGAACCTCTGCTCGTTCTCAAAGGAAGAGTGGCCTGGCAAGAGGGAAATAGGTTGGCAGCTGAGAAAAGTGGAGAAATCTTGGTGTGGGTGTATTTATGTATGTGGGGATACCATTGTATTTCAGTTCTAGGAAAGGCTGCGAGCAAGGGCTAAATTGGAACTTTTGGGCGGTGTTTTTAAACATTCAGTTGATGTTACGAATGTCATCCATTGTTTGAAAAGACCATGTTAGGCATTGATATATTAAGGCCTTAAAAATAGCCCACTTGGTTAAAGATTTGTGAGTTCATTCCGATAGTCTTATTCAGTTATTATTTTTATTTTGTATTTTACCATGTTAATAAACAAAATTATATATACATATACACACACATCTATCTATCTATCTATCTATCTATCTATCTATCTGTCTGTCTATCACAGGAATAAAGGCTTTTCTGCAACTCCATCTTATTGTCCTTCATTATTTTTTGTTCTGGTAAGAAAAAGTAATAGGAAAACAATGGGAAAACAGGTTCATGTGGACCTTGAGAAATTTGAGGCAGGCAGCTGCATCGAAAAAGCTTCCTCCTAAAACATTTGATTTTCCAAGCAGCACCGGAGAATGAAATGGTGTCAAAAATAACAAATGGATATCATTTCATTTCAGTTCCTGTCAAAGGAAATTAGGTACTTCTGGCATTTATTGCTTTTGACATTAGGTGTTGAACTGGGTGTGCGGGGAAACAAAAAATGTCAGCTCCTGCCATGCAAGGAGCTATTCCTAATGTACCACCTGTCTCTGTTCCCAAAGGTCCTATTATTTCTGGAATAGACATTTCATTAAACTGTCATAGATTGTCCTTCCCCCCCCCTTACTTTGTTGAGGCTATATAGCCAATCTAGGATGATTACCATCACCTTTACTAAGTTTCCCGACAATGTTGTAAGGGCTGGACTTATATGAGGGTAGCTCAAATCAACACCAGACTGAGTCAGGGGTCCCCGTTTTCATCCTGAGTAACCCAATGCTTTCACCCTGTTTTAAAAGTTCCCTGAAAAACACAGCCAAAACAAGTGTCAAGTTTTTTCATGGCATGCATTTATCTTTAACTCGGGCCAGACCTTCTCAATATTTCCCGCCAGCTTAAACTCAGCTCCAGTTCCAGCTGTGAACTAGAAATTCTATCCTTTCCAGAGATCAAATTTAATTTAATTTAATTAATCATATTTCTATGCCGCCCAACTCCCAAGGGACTCAAATCATGTCTTTGATTCGTGTAGCATTAGGCAAGCCATATTTTCAGCTTTTCTGTCCTGCTCCCAGTATCTAGCAAGAATAATACTAAAGTATGGTGTGCAATGGCAGGGGTCCCCAACCCCCGAGCCGTGGCCCACTACTGGGCTATGACCTATTTGGAACCAGATTTGAGCGAGAGGCGGGCTGGCGCACACACTCATGCACGCCAGCCCATCGCTTGCACGAGTGGAGCTATGTGTGCATAAACACCATCCTGCTGCTTGCATGCCCAGTTTCCCTCTCTCCCCAGCTGGCCCACCAAGCCGCGAAGATTGGGGACCACTGGCTATAGTATGGAATGGCATGGTATAGTATGGTATGGTATGGTAAAAATTTACTATGTTATGACTATATGGGCATGTCCATGTAATTTTTTTTTACTATAATATTTAAATGATTCACTATTGCTTTCATTCACAATGTTGTTGTTTTTTTGATTTCCCAGTCTAGTCTATAATTTTGGGATTACCTTTTGGTCTCTGATCCAAATACCAACCAATTCCAAGCTCGGTTAGCTTTCAGGGATCAGCCAAGATCAGCTACCGTGTTTCCCTGAAAATAAGACCTTGTCTTATATATTTTTTTTGAACCCTGAAATAAGCGCTTGGCCTTATTGCCATGCGCTCAAAAGCCCGATTGGGCTTATTATCAGGGAATGTCTTATTTTGGGGGAAACAGGGTAGATACTTCTCTCTGCTATAGACAATATTGTCAGACTTACTACAATAATGCATTGGGGGAAAATGCTATAATTGCCCTAGTCCTTCCTTGTTTGTTTGGACATGGTCCACTGATCTAACCCTTGGTTTGTTCAGGCAGGTAGGTTCCTCACCTGCATGCTAAGGAGATCTAATGCATTTCTTGGCAGGCTGAGGCATACACTTTCCCCGAATCCCTAAATTGGCCCTCCGGGAAGATGTTTAAGCTGAACTTTTCTGCCCTTATTAAAATAGGTGGCATAATCGCTGTGACGAATGGCTCCTGTTCAGACAAGTTTGGTATGGCATTTGACACACATTTATAAGAGGCGCATCAGGACTTGCATTTTTACGTGTGGGATTTGCTAATTAGCAGTGAACTTTGGCCTATTTGTAGGCCAGGTTTCCTTTGTTTCAAAGAACTGGGTGCCTGGGTTGGTGGAAATTTGGAGAGAGAAAAAGAGTAATTTTGGAAGAGCCCTTTGGAGCCGCAGAGGCTGAAGTCCACAAACAAAACATTATGTCCTGCGAGATCTGGCTAGGTGGCTCAGTGGCTAAGATGCTGAACTTGTCGATCAGAAAGGTCGGCAGTTCGGTGGTTCGAATCCCTAGTATAGGTGTCTTGTGTGAGCAGGGGGTTGGACTAGATGACCTCCAATGTCCCTTCCAACTCTGTTACTGTTATCTTCACTTGGGGCACTTGCTTAGGCATGTCTCAAATGGTGGGATTCTTCAATACTTGTTTTCCCTTCTACAGATGCTAAATTCGAGTGGTTTCATTTCCGCAGCGAGAACCCCCCAAAACCATTATTTTCATTAAGGGTATATAACAGTGGTGGGATTCAAGTAATTTAACAACCGGTTCTCTGCCCTAATGATTTCTTCCAACAACCAGTTTGCCAAACTGCTCAGAAAGTTAACAACCGGTTCTCCCGAATTGGTGCGAACTGGCTGAATTCCACCACTGATATATAAGCACCAAAGCAACATCAAAGAAAGACAACCTTGAATTTAAAATTATTAACACCTTCTCAACCCTTATCAAAAGGAAGTTTACTCAACCCCCCCCTCCCCATTCATCTGTTTTCATGGTCATATCTTAACAGAATTCTTCCAATTTAAAAATAAATTCCTGAGGGAAAATACCTCTTCCTTTCTGCTAAATATAGCATTACATGTTCTCGCCCAAAGATTCAAATGTTAGCCGTGCACAAAGTAACCCATGGGACTGACTAGAACTGCAGGGTGACAAAGAAGCTGGAGATCTAAAAGTAAACACGATGAGGTTGAAAATAAATCAATGTGAATGAAAGCAAACACATTCACATTTGGATTAGGCGTTTGAGGCAGTTGCATCTCCCACGATGATTTTTTCAGTTTAGAGGGTGAAAAAAACCTTGACCTAATTGGAGTGGGATGGAGAGTGGGTTTGGCTGCTTTATGGAAGGGGACAGGTTTTGGTGGCAATGGATGGTATTTTAAGGTAGGATAGCACTTGGTCCTATGGAGGACCAGGGGTGCTAGAAACGCAGAGTGTTGGTCGAAGAAGGCCCGCTGGAGCCTCATGAATGAATTTTCATGCCCTGGGGGAGATTGTCAAGCTGTATTGTGCAGGAGTAACAACAGCTGCTATTCCCATTCAAACTGGACTTTCCTGATCTGATTGATCCTCAGATTCTGGATCACCCAGATTCAACGAAATGCACACAAACACACACACACACACACACTTGAATCATTCTATCCCACTGCCCTCTGGGATTTAAGGAGAAGGCTGAGCATTGGAATGGACAGATTCGGATGGCTCTTACTTTTCCATTAATAAAAGTCTCTGCCCCACCCCCAATAGCGACATTTGACTCCTGAGCAGATGCCAGTTCCATCCTAAACTATTCATTCAAAGCCTGAAAATTGCCAAGCATCATAGAAGAAGGTGCAGTGGAGAGGGGGGGGAAGGTTTTCAAATACTCACCTTCCAAGATATAGACTTTGAATCCACTGCTGATCCCTGTGGTGTAATGAAAATCAGCCAAGGCCATCACTGCTGGGGGAAGGGATTGTCCACACAGGATGGATGCTGACCCCAGACAATTGCAAGAATATTAACTCTGCTGCAGAATGGGGGGTTATCAAGGAGGTGGCCCCCAGAATCTAAATGTTTCAGGCCTTCTTTTGCTTGCGAAGCAGGGACTTGGGGAATTTCAGCCCTAAATCCTTCTTTCTTTCTCTTTCTTTTTCCCCTCCTACCTTTCCTGCTTTGAAAGCGTCCCCTTTCTCCAGACAAGCGAGGGGATCACCAACTACCTGGACCCTGCAGGTTGTTCTTTCACAGAAGTCACACACCCTTGTACCGCGTGCCACTTCCCTTCATGAACTTCTGGAGTGTGCCTCTGAAGGGGCGGGGCTTCAGTTGGCCAGCCACAACAGGCTCGACACACGCCTCTCCGAGCCTGTTAGCCCCCTCTGGGCAAGTGCGTGTGCCTGGATTGTGTCACACCCTTGCAGTGTGTGTGTGTGTGTGTGTGTGTGTGTGTGTGTGTGTGTGTGTCTATATGTGTGTGTGTGTGTGTATTTGTACAGGGTGGGGTTGGAATGGAAGTAAAAGGGAGAGGCAGGCATGGTGGGAGTCCAAAAGGAGTAGGAAATATTGGCTCTGCTAGGGAACATGTGTGATCAATTTCAGAGGAATGATCTGCATTTAGAGGTTCATTGCTGACAGGAAGAGAGAGAAGAAAGGAACTGACAGAAGAGCTGTATTATTTGGGGGAAGATTTGCTAATCTAGTATTGGTGGTGCTGACGATAACTATTTTATTTTATTTTATTTTTTTCATCGCTTTACCATACATCAATAATCCAGTAAAACAAAATATAATGGAATAATTTTGCAGCCACTTCATTTCATTTTTATATTGCTTTCTTTATATTAATTTATGAATGACAAATAGAAAGATTGGGCTCTTCTGAAGAATTCAAGAGTCATTAATCAACTAATCAAATGGACTGGTTCATATGATTATTTCAAATACTAAGCTACATTTTGAATTGTGTGTGTGTGGGGGCTCCTTTACTTGCCCTCCCCAAAGACCCTGAAAAGACGGATGGAAAGAAGGAAGCATGTTGGTTGGAAAGAAAGGAGAGAATTATTATTCAGGATTTGCACAGGCAGGAGAATTTCAAGAGGCTTACAGAGTGGGAGAAAGTTGTGAAGATTGTCAGTTTGACATGGGATACATTCTGGAAAGCTTTCTGGCACAAGCTAGTTTCTCTTTAAAGTGACATGAAATCTGGATAATAAGCAAACATTCATGCATCTTCAGTTGGATTGGGCAACAAGCAATGTGTGTGTTTATGTGTGCACGCATCCTCGCATCTGTATGCATGTGGTTATGCATGTTCAATTATTTCTAAAGTCAAGGGATGTGGAAGAGTTTGGAATAAGAAGTGGACAGAGGTTCTTATGGGGATGAAGGATGCTTGGAGAAACTGCCCAAATTGATTCTGGAGAAGCTCGAATATGCACTCTATTTTAAAGAAAACTTTCCCAATCTGATGCCTTCCAAATGTGTTAGACTTTAACCAATTCAATAATTCTCTAGATGGGATTGTAGCTTGCCATGCTAACTGAGTATCCTGGGATCTTAAATCCGGTACATGTGAAGGGCATAAGGTTGAAAAATCCTATTTTAGAATTTAACACTGCTTCAGATGCGGGAGCTTACATCTTTCCCAGCAAATCCTGATGGGCAGCAAAGCAGCGTGTCTATTAGGCTTGTCAAGGATTCGCTTTTCCACAGCACTTTATCCCTTTGTCTGAAAGGCTGCCTAGTTTAGCTGAAAGGCAGAGAATCCTAAAAAGATGCCTCGAATTTGCTCATCCAAAATGAACATCTGGTTTGCTGACTGAACAAGAACACAGCCCGGATAAAGAGGTGGAGGAAATGATTGCCATGTCTGCAGAGGGGTGGAGTAACTCAGACACTAGAAGATAAAACCCCATTTCACAAGAATTTGATTGGTTAGAGAAATGGAGCGAAAATAGCAGCATGAATTTTAACAGTGACAAATGCCGGTTCTTTAGTGAGAAAGCAAAATCTTGTGTACTCTGTGTGTGTATATATCTGTGTTTGTCTCTGTGGAACACTTTCTGGTTTTATAATGGTACTTGTGAAAAAAAAATCTCAAAGCAAACAGGGGATGTTGTCCTCTTCACAACTGCTTACATAATTCACATTTTCCTGTGGTTCCTGGAAAGAATGGATTTAAGTCTGAGGGATGCTTCCTGAACATTCCCCTACTTGTACCCTTTGAAACACCATTTCCTCTTCAGATCCAGATTGTTGACTAGCCCAATTAATTACAAGCTTAGTATGAGTTAGCAGTGTGATTTGGCTACAGATGAAGCCAATGCAAGAATTCAGACGGCATCAAGCAGCATCACAGGCAGTAAATATTTTCATTTTATTCTGTCCGTGTACAGTCTGGTTTGGTGCCTTACAGAAGTGACCAGGGGACGAGAAATGAAGTGAAGAAAGATTGAGGGAGCTGGATATGCTACGCCTTGAGCAGACAGGACTGAGGGGAATAGAAAGCATTCTTTACATAGTTGAAAGCAAAGGATGTCACAGAGAAGAAAATTAAGACCTGTTCTCTCTTGCTCCAGAGGGGAGGACATGGAATAAGAGATTTCAATTAGAAGACGGCCTAACATTGTGAATAGGTCTGCAGTGGAATTAATTACCCAGGGGGGTGGTCGGCTCGCCTTCTTGGGATGTGTTCAAACAAGGACTAGACAGCCATGTGTCTGGGGTGGGGTGGGGCTTTGATTGGGTGGGGGGAGGGAAAATTGATGGCCTTTCCCAACGATGAGGCTCTGGCTATAAGCTGGCTGGTCTTTCCCATTTTGATGTGATAGCCTGCGTTTCTATCCATTACATAATATACTTATTTCCAGATTTGTTTTTACACTTATGAAATTCCTATTTTATATAAACTGCATAAGATTTTTTGAGATGGGGAAAATCTTTTAAGCAGATACCTTGTTATCTCTATTTTGAGTTTAAGGGGCTGAGAGCCTGCAGCCAGCCTAAGGCTATCCACCGATAAATTTTAATTGAGCTAGCCCTGCTTTGGAGTTTAATCTCCCTATGTAAATGGGAAGAAATGGTTGGTCTGGATGGGGGATGATATTTATGCAAAGTCCCATGATAACTAGCTATGAAACTCAGGGATTGGTAGAAGGATCTGGCGTCTCCTGGATTAAAACGGAGAGGCGGGGCCCACGAGTCCTGGCGTGAGGGAGCCACGAGCCAAGCAGCTGGGGGCGCGTGTCAGGGCCGGCTCCCTGCACACCCCAAAGCAGTCGAGCCACATTCCAATGGCCTTCCCCACCCAACCCACCCAACCACCCGAGGGAAGGAATATCCACCAAGGCGGGCAGGTCTTGGTTGGTGCACCGAGATTTGCCTCACCCAGTGCCTGGCACGCCTCATCCTTTCTCTGCATTTTGTAGGCAAGGAGGGGAAGCTGTGAGTGAAGGTTAGCCTGGGCTTTTACGTGGGCTCAGTAAAGGGCTGCCAGGGTGCTGCAAATTGAATCTCAGCTGCGAAAGGCTGAATAGGAAGAAAAACCTGGGACTTGCCCAAATTGGCTCCCTTATTCAAGCGGCTCTATTTTTCTTCAGTCCCCCCGGCAGCTACTTCCAAACCAGCCTTCTCCATCTTGTTGCTCTTGACTTCTAGTTCCATAATCCTCCAATCAGGTTGGGACTAGGAGTCCACCTGAGAGTGCAGAATCTGGAAAATTCAAGTTAAGAGGGCAAAATAAGACCCAGAAATGGCCAGCAATGAAGGACACTCACTTACATGACTGACCAGAGTTGCCAATCTCTTGTTTGCTGGGTGCAGCTCTTCTGCCATCATATAGAGTTGACGATGTTTAAGTGGTGACCAACCAAGGCCTACCCAAATGGAGCCCTGTCCTGAACCACTCCAGTTATTTTTAAAGAAGGAAGTAAGGTTGTTTTTGCTTTCTATGTCCAAATGTGTGCCTGCCCACAGTCACCGGGGAGGTAATATATACTGTAAATGTAGTTATGCAGCTAAATCTTAGGGATTAAAGCATCATTTTGTACTCCAAATCTCCAGGATAAAACCTAGCACTTAGTTATGAGAGGTGAGCCTTCTTTGAATAGATTCAGTGCATTTAAGGATGGCCACTTACTGGCAGTGGATTGTGGAGATAGCCTTGAGGAATGAATGCAAGAACTGCTTAGTAAACGTCAGTTGGAAGGAAAAGTGTTGAGAAAGAAATTCAATCTCACTTTGATATACAGGTAGTCCTCAATTTATGACCACAACTGAGCCCAAAATTTCTGTTGTTAAGTGAGACCTTTGTTAAATGAGTTTTCCCCCCTCCCGTTTCACGACCTTTCTTGCCATTATTGTTAAGTGAATCACTGCAGTTGATAAGTTACTAACCCAGTTGTTAAGTGAAGGTGGCTTCCCCATTGACTTTGCTTGTCAAAAGGTTGCAAAAAGTGATCACATGACCTTGGGGCACAGCAATGGTCATAAATGTGAACCGGTTGCCTGAATTTTGATCACATGATCATGGGGATGCTACAAAGGTTGTAACTGTGAACAATGGTCAAGTCCAGAGGTGGGTTTCAGCAGGTTCTGACCAGTTCTGGAGAACTGGTAGCAGAAATTTTGAGTAGTTCGGAGAACCGGTAAATACTACCTCTGACTGACCCCACCCCCATCTATTCTCAGCCTCCCGAGTTCCAGCTGATCGGGAGGAAATGGGGATTTTGCAGTAACCTTCCCCTGGACTGGGGAGGGAATGGAGATTTTACAGTATCCTTCCCCTGCCACGCCCACCAAGCCATGCCACACCCTCCAAGCCACACCCACAGAACCGGTAGTAAAAATTTTTGAATCCCATCACTGATCAAGTCACTTTTTTTCAGCAGCATTGTAACTTTGAACGGTCACTAAATTAACTGTTGTAAATAGAGGACTACCTGTACTCTACAATGAGGGGGCAGAGGGAAATCAATAGGCTTTTGAGATTCTGTTATAATATTCTACAACAATAGAGTTGCGGTAGTCCTTGCTTTGTCTTTTCCCTCACCTGGCCTATCTCAAAGAGCTAAAACTTCCCTTCCCCCAACTGTAGTTGTCCAGGAACACTAAACAGGGTAGCAGAAGAATATAAGGCATTTCTTCTCCATTCCTGTCTGTGCACTGGGGGAACTGATTTGAGTCATTCCAATTTTTAAATCTCTGTGCTATGAATAATTATCTGTATTATATGAACGTAAGCAGACCTTTCTTTCCTGCTTGATCA